AATCATGTTTTGGTTGTTCTAACTCACTAATCATGTTTTGGGTGTTCTAACTCACTAATCATGTTTTGGTTGTTCTAACTCACCAATCATGTTTTGTTTGTTCTAACTCACTAATCATGTTTTGATTGTTCTAACTAACTAATTAATAAAATTAATGTTTTGGTTGTTCTAACTCACTAATCAATCAAATTAATGTTTTGGTTCTTCTCAATAATCATGTTTTGGTTGTTCTAACTCACTAATCATGTTTTGGTTGTTCTAACTCACTAATCATGCTTTGGTTGTTCTAACTCACAAATCATGTTTTGGTTGTTCTAACTCACTAATCATGTTTTGGTTGTTCTAACTCACTAATCATGTTTTGGTTGTTCTAACTCACTAATCAATCACTAAATAAGAACAAAACTCTCCTGAAAAAAGCGAACCCTCATGCAATGTCTAAACTACACATCTGCAGATATGGTTTCTCAAAATAAAATTATCAGAAATACAGATCTCCGAAATCATGGAAGAATTATTTCGAACGTTACTTCTATAATCAATGTTTAGCTGGCGTTGGATAAAGTGTTAAATTTTAACTTATTGTTTTTCTAGCAATCATGTTGCGAGAAATTATATCTGCAACAAACTATAGATGCGTTTGTTCAACCAACAAGGCAAACAATTCCCCTGTACAAATTAACAAGAAAGGAATTGAATCTTTGCCAAAATCTAAACTTTTCTAATCACTATGTCTTTGAAACCCGATGTTGTAAACCTTTGATATTTCAAACTTAGATTTTTGATCTAACAGAGTTTATGACATTGTTGCAAAGAAAATCAGTGTGTGTGACAAAGACTCAATTCCTTAGAAGAAAAGTCGAGAAAATTAGGGAAAAGTCTGATACAACCTATATCCGGGGTATGTTAAAAGCTGACAAGCAAAGTGCAAAAAAAACCTGTTTTTTAAAACTTCAATACAGTGAGAACCAGACTCAAATTTTGACTTCAAATAGTCAAATAAAAATTTGACAAAGAAGTTGTGCAGTGTTAACAGAGATAGTTACTCAAGTAGGGATTTAAGAAGTCTCCAGAAAACTTATTTGCTTTGTAACACCAATCACCATCAAATACACATTAGTATTGCTATATGTAGTTAACTTGTTCTCTCTGTTGGAACATTTCTTAATTTTGTTCATTTAGTCAATTATGTTTATTATTATAATTATATTATTAGTTTATTATCTAGTAGTTTTTGCACTTTACTAAATAAAACTTCCCATGCAAATCTGCAATTATACAGCGTGTTCGATGAAAAATTTAAATTTAAAAGACGATCAAGTTTGAGAATATGTACTTATATGTTTTAAAGGCAAACTACTCTTCTAAACATTAACCAGTTCTTTATTAATTTTTTTTACAAACGCTGTTAATCATGATATTTCCAACTGAAGCACTTAGAGGCGTACTCAGGAATTTGTCCGGGGGGGGGGGGCCANCTTGGTCATCTTCCAATATTCATGTATTTTGGAACACACTATATCTTGATATATAATAATCATATATTGTGGAACACACTATATCTTGATATATAATAATCATGTATTGTGGAACACACTATATCTTGATAAATAATAATCATGTATTGTGGAACACACTATATCTTGATATATAATAAGTTTATCACAAGAATCACAATTGAAATATTCAGTTCACCAAAGACAAAGAGATTCAAAATTCCATTACCCTTAAAAAAATAATAAAAAGAAAACCAAAACAACTATTTCTATATTTCCTGTCCAAAGAAAACCTAAGAAAACGGACAGTGGAGACAGTTAACCAGGAACCAATGAACAAATGCAAATATTCTTAAATGTTTGAAAATGAAAAAAATTAAGCCCTACTATTTTATTCACAAATTTTAAAATATCTAATTTTGCAACTGACAATTTTTGAGCAAAAATAATTAAAATGAAAAAGTAATTTTCTCTTAAAAACAATTTTATGTAGATTGTGTAATTTCACTTTCAGAACTTCAAAGTAATAAATAATTTAAACGTATTACTCTTTGACAATCCTTCAGGGGAAACAGATATAAATATTTTTAAAGAAACTTGCTATTTGTCTTTTAAAGGCTTTCTCATTAACATTTTTTGCATATTGTTTAAAGGTTCCGGGTGCATGAAAACACTCACCGAAACCTGTATTTACACTCGTTGAATTCTGATTATCTGGATAAAATATTAGTAAAATGTTAATTAATCTAGTTTATATACTTCTATATACAATAGATACATTATGTTAATCAGTTACCAAGGTGCTACTAATAATTCTTAATACAATTATCATCAATAAAATGTGATTCATTTTAAAGAAAAAGTTTGAATAATGTCGATTAAAAATAATTATAACATTTAGGGACATTCAGTAAGGGATTATAAAATGTCAAGTTTAAAAAGACTGAAAAACAAAATTCTGTTGAATAGTGCACTTTTCAATTGAAGATGTCTTGTGATGCAAAAAAAACCTCTGGATTGGTATAAAATTTTCTTTAAACTACAATATTATTTTGTTTTCTTTTGTATGTCTCTTTAAAGAAAATATAGACGTAATGGGACTCTAGATATAAAGTGTGGCATGTCCGATTCACAATGTGACCCTTTAAACCTTTATCTGACCAAAAAAGATTGAGTTATCCATACTTTTTTCATTCAAAATTGATTATTTATAAAATTGCGGTTCTCTGTACAAGTTTCTTGCGGATTTATACGCATACATGTTAGAGAAAATAAAGGAAATACAGAGAAATTATCACATCTCTCTGATTGTTGAGAATCGGGCTTGTAATGCCACAACTAGAGGGTTTACTTGAAATTCCTTTAATCAATTGATCTTCTCCTACCTATGAAGAGGAACAGCTGAATTAGGAACTACAGGACAGTCGGCAGCTGTCTCGTAGAAATCATCATCTTCATCATCCTGTCCAGTCAAATCCTTACCAGCATTAGGACCATCCAACTAAAAAACATAACAATATTTTTTAATAATTTCCAAAATTGTTAAAAGAATCGTAAAAGATACCGGATAAGCTTTTCTGGGTAAAACTATTTTGTAAAATTGTAAAAATATGTTTTTTTAACCCGCCCCCCCCCCCCTTCTCCCCCTGGAATGTCAAAATAGGGTAAAACCCCTCCTAGAAAAAATCTGTATACGCCCCTCAATAACAAGGCAAAATATCTCTAGAAAATGTTATTTTTAACCCCCTTTATTAAACTCACCGCGTCCAGTTCAACTTGTGTAAAGATGTAACCCAGGAGTCGTCTGTACGGAATCATACCGATCACAAAGAACGGGAAGGCGAGTGATGCTGCAGTAGATTTTACAACCCAGAGCGTGATTAAACCTAGACCCTGGAATACGGTGAACAGAACCATCCTCCAGGTCTTGACATGCTTCACGTAGGAAACCTGAGGGTGGTGTTTCACCGGCATGATACACAGGATTAAACGATCGAAGAGCTGAACTCCATTCAACCCTGATACTCCCATATACAGGAATACACCGAATAGAACCGCAAACGGAACAAGTTTTAGAATTGGAGCAAGGAGAATGGATGCGCCCAACATTATTGAAACACAGAGCGCGGTAAGTCTCTGGTCAATGGCTCCAACAACGCGCGCGCTCTCTCCAGGAATAACGTTGGTTGATATGACAAGGAGCGCGGATACATGACTGACCGCTCGCACAGTTGCTGCACAAATCCAGGGACCTCCAAATAATCCTAAACAAAAAATCTCAATTTTATGATTTGCAACAGTATACCCTATAAATATAAATCTGTTAAAGATTGCGCGTTTTATAGCTTTTTAACAATTAAATTCTGCAAGAAACGCACACTGCGCAGGCCACTTGTTTAAAGCTAAACCTCAAATAAAAATAATCCATTTTCAAAAGCAAAAGCAAGGATATAAAATTCATAATTGAACAGAGAAGCTTTAATCGGACATGCCACTCTATCAATGGAAGGTTACGTGAAATTACGCTTAAGGATTTAAATGATTTTGACGCATCAGGCCAAAATATTAGTGTTAAGAAATTGTTGTCCATTATATTAAAATATTGTTCTTTTTCTGAAGACAAAAGTAGATTTTATTTTTAATCTAACTTAATTTTTTATAAAACCTTTAAAATCTGTTGATATGTTTAAAAAAAATATTCAATACAATTTGCTGAAATATGTTTTCTACCTGTAAACATATTAATAGCGCTGAGTAGAACAATATCAAGATGAACCCCTGCTCCTTTATCATTCGGTCCCTTCGTCTTCTCCATCATAATCAGCTCGCAGATATGTGTCTCCATGAAGAGGAGAACGTAGAGGAGGATGGCGGGGAGGAAGGCAGCAAACATTGCCCAGATGGGGAGGGGTTGAGAGATACCAGTTGGGGGGATAAACCAGCCTCTAGTTTCATTCTTAGTTACCTGAAATATTTAATAAAAATAAAACAAATAAATACAATAAAACTTGATCATCCAAAGGGATATTTCAAGCTTAAACAGTTTTGTTGCTTCCTGAAAAATGTCAAAAATAAAAACAGTCAAAGAAAAAAAATCTAATTTTGAGGTATACCGTTTCAAAATTTCACGGAAATTGAAGAAATTGATTCTTTGCAACATATTTTCTATTCCTTTGATCAAATTATCTATACTTGAAGTATCAAAGGTTTACACGAATTAAAAAACTTGAATTTGTGACAAAAACTCAGAAAAAAGATGATTATGAAAAATGTACCGAAAGACCAGCAGGAACAAACAGTTTCTCAGTATAAGTATCATCGGAAGCATAATCCATCATCACCATTGCAACAATAGCAATAGGGACTCCGAAATCTCCAAGTGCTCTTCTCACCTACAAAATGAAAAACGTTCTTGATGATAAAATTTATTTATCTAAAGACAAATATAGAATTGTAAAAACCGAATCAGTTTTCATAAATTATTTGAAAGAAAGAAGAACCAAAGGAAATAAAACATGAAGTTTAATTAATTTAAAACCGTCTAGCATTTACTTAAAAGTTAAAATCGTTGTTAATGAACATGACTAGTTTTTTTTTATTTAGAAATCTTTATCAGAATTAGTTCTCTTGGTTAATAAAAGAACTATTAAATCAGAGATTAACTAAAAGAAAGAATCAAAATAATATGAATTACTAAAAAAAATAAAACCACCCGCAAAGGATCAATCCAAAAGCTATAATTTTCCCTTATTGAAAACTAGAAAACACAAACAAAAAGAGTTTCCCATAAAGTAAAATAAAATTTTTCACCGCCCCTGAATTAAAGGAACCGCCCCCCCCCCCCCTCCTGTATGAACTAATGAAGAAACTCCAATTTTTTTTTAGACCAGAAAAAAAGTTTTTACTCCGCGAGAGAACCGAACTTTATGAATTTGAGCTATTTATTCAAATTTGAATCACCCATTTAAAGTTAAAGATGTGTAAGGATTTTAATCGATGTTTCAGGATTGGAACTGTCCTTTCAGTAGTTCAGTCACCTCTCCAATTCATTAAAGTCGGTCCAGATGTAAACCTTTCAAAATTCATGAATCCTGACCTTTGCAGACTAAGAAGTTAGAAACTTACATTTCGACCAAAGATCCTGCTGTTTCTGAAAAGTCTAAGAAAGTATGCTATAAGGAAGGTTCCGAACATGAGAATAGCAGACTGCAGAGCTGTGTTGGGATGAGGTAAATCTCCAGTCATTGGTTTTCTCTCCTAATGATAATAATAATAATAAAATAGGACATACGTATTTATATGCTAAAAAATAAAAAAAAATTTCAAATTTTTTTTTCAGTATTTTTTTCAAAATTTAAAAAAAATCCACGGGCAACGCCGGACCCTTCAGCTAGTAATAATAATAAAGGTAATGATAATAGTGATAATGATAATAATAATAGTAATAGAAATGATAATATTATTAAAAATGATAATAATTATAAAATCTCCGGACGTTTTGTCAGTCAAACATATTATTCAAGAAGATGAGAATGCGTATTTGAATAGGTTCTGCTGGTTCAACTACCCATCTAACCTTAGACCAGTATTTATCCCAACCCTACCTAATTAAACTAATATTTCCTATCAATAAGTGACAAAATTAAATCGTGTTTACATCGCCTTCCCATCCTATCATTATTCTTCTGACATTAGAAAAAACTAACCTCGAAAACATCCATATCTGTAGAAGTTTCAGGGAATAAAGTTGTAGTATCTGTCTCAGATTCAAACAAATCTCCAATTTCTCTTCGAACTCTGATGCTATCATTGTGCTGAATCTAATAAAAAATAAAAATAAATCAATTTTTAAATGTAATTTTATATTTTCTTATTTTAAAAATGCTAATTTATTTGAGCAAAACAAAACATGAAGTGTGTCTCCAAAACTGTTCTCAGAACTTAATATCATATTTTTTAGATTACTTTTCCAAGTTTTTAAATGAAAAATAAACAGCCTGTAAATTATAAGCATGAAATGTTTGGCTCACCTCACTATAGATAGCACAGTAGTCCTCTGGTGTAAGAAGAGGATGGGCTTGAAACACCTAAAATTAAAAAATTAAAAATTCTAAATGTGTAAGTTTGATAAACCAATTGAAAGTCAGCTGCAAACTTTTCTTTTTTTGGTTTTGTTCATTTTACACAAAAGTGAAAAATCTGCAAGCAAAAAGATTTGAAAAAGTTATCGCCCGGGAAGTTGTTTTATTTCAAGCTTCAGTTATTAATATTTTAAATGAAGAAATATATTGTTTACAATGATTCGTCTTAAAAAATGCATTTTTTGTATTATTTTTTTTAAAGAAAATTTATTTATTTGAATGAAGTATTTTAAGGAAATATGTTTATTTGAATGATGTATTTTAGGAAAATATATTTATTTGAATGATTTATTTTAGGGAAATATATTTATTTGAATGATGTATTTTAGGTAAATATATTTATTTGAATGATGTATTTTAGAAAATTTATTTATTTGAATGATGTATTTTAGGAAAATATATTTATTTGAATGATGTATTTTAGGAAAATATATTTATTTGAATGATGTATTTTAGGAAATATATTTATTTGAATGATGTATTTAAAAAAAATATATTTATTTGAATGATGTATTTTAAGAAAATATATTTATTTGAATGATGTATTTTAAGAAAATACATTTATTTGAATGATGTATTTTAAGAATATATATTTATTTGAATAATGTATTTTAAGAAAATATATTTATTTGAATGATGTATTTTAGAAAAATACATTTATTTGAATAATGTATTTAAAGAAAATATTAGCATAAACCTCTGCAATATTCTTGTATAAATAAAGAAGGGAAAATAGTTGTATAAAACAGGTGGTAAATGTATTGAAAATTGAATAGATTTACCAAAACGAGAATAATCTCTCCCTTCATTTCTCTAAAATGCTGTAGACAAATGAAAAAAGATAAATTAAATTCTCTAACCCCCCCCCCCCCTCCCGATAAAAATGTGTTAAAATTTTCTTCATTGTAAACAAAATTCTGTTGGTTAAGGTTTGTTGGTCTATATTGAATGATAGGGCCTTGAATAAAAGGGCCAATATTTTTCAGAAAAGAAAAAAAATTTTTGTTTAATCAAGTGCTTAAAATCTTTTTACATTTTCAATAAAAAATCTACTAAATCTTACATTTTTGTTTTTTCATAATGTGCCAAGGGAAAATGTTCGCATGGCAAGGTCGGGTGAATACATTTCTAAATCTAACTTTGTTAAATATACCAACCTTGTAGAGTTTAAGCAGAGCCTCGTATATGAAGAGGAGAGCTACTAGGGACGCAAAGATATCCTTCGTGAACTTGGTAAAGTGTTTTACCAAAACAGAACCCTCAAATCAAATCAAATTAACTTAAATCAAATTAAATTAAATCTAATCCAATCAAATCAAATCAAATCAAATCAAATCAAAGATAAAGAAAAAGAGAGTGAATGTAAATGTATGGTAAATTAACTGAGAATATAGTATTGTGGAGAATTTTTTTAGGATTTATTTAAGTCATATAAAACGTTTAAATGATGTATAATTACAAATAAATTAAATTATTGAATTTAAAGAAACCTACAGTAAACTAATTAGATGTACAGGAACATATTTCACAATTGAAATGTTCTCAATAAATCATTATATTGAATTTCTTATTCTTTATGAATTTATTTGGAAATTTATTCTAATTCTTCAAAAGTCATCTTTTCAATAAATATTCAAGGAAATCTACAGAAAATGTTTGTGAACAATGAGTCATTACAGAAACCAATAACTTGATAAGATTACTAATTTTCGATGATAATAGTTAATTTTTATTTTTTCAACCTGTTCCTTAACACCAAATTAGTTTAATGTAGAATTTTTACTTCATTTTTTGTCGTCGTTATTGAATAATTTCTTTAAACCCGATTCTCAAAAATATTCCTCAAAAATTAACAATCGATGAGAATTTTAAATATAGAATTTGCGCTCTTGCTGAACAAATATATATACACCATAAAAACTTCTTTTTATATATACACCGTAAAAACTTCTTTTATGTCTCTAATGATTCCTAAAAGAATTCTCCGCAATACCACATTCTCAGTTCAACTACCATACTTTAGAGTCAAAGTCAAAGTTTAAATCAAAGTCAAACATTAAGAAAATAAATTGGATTTGTGATGTAACGATGAAAAAGATTAAAATTTACGCAGTATTGTTTAAATCGTAATATTTAACGTTCCAATAAAATAAATACTTTTTGAATATATTTTCTCCTAGAATAGTTTGATAAACTACGGAGTACGGACAATGTTAAATTCATATAATTTCGGTTTATTGGACCAAGTTACTACAAGGGATTATACATAACATCCCTTACAGAGGTACTTAGCATATTAAACCATATAACCTTCCTAATAAAAGGGATTGTTCGTGAAGTAAAATGGGATTCTCTCAGGAGAGAAACATTTTTTCACTTTCTTTCGAATAACGGAAAAATTAACATATTTTAACATTTAAAATTGGAGGTTGACTTATTATCAAAATCATTTTTGATTTTTTGGCATTTTGTCTTTTCTCTCTTCCCCTCATCCCTCATCCCTCAAATTGTGCGTCATCTCAGACAATAAGAAATACATTCTTTCTTATACTTCCGGTATCAAGAGAATAAGGGTGAAAAAAAATCAAAAGATCCAAAAAATCTCAATGCTGTTGCTTATAACAAATGAATTGTAACGACGATTTGAAGAAAATTCCGTGTACTGCAAAATATATATATATACTTCTAGATGTATGTACAGTAGTATATATATTTATGCAACTGTTTTGTGTCATGCGGGACAATTTGTTTATTGCTGGGTTTTACTTTTTTTTGTTTGTTGGTTTAAGTTTTAAATTTAACTCAACTTGCATTTAACTGAAACAAAATAAAATTCAAAAAACGAAAAAATCCTCAAAATATAAAAGGAAACCTGCTTGCCGGTAAAAAATAAACTTTTTTGCCTCGGAACAAAAAAAAAAATTTTATATCCAAGATTAAGAAATAGTGTGTAAAAATGAACGAATTCCAAAAATAATTTACCTGGAAAAAGGCGACTACAAGAGCTATAACCAGAGTCCAGATACCAATCCAAGTTCTCCAGGCAAGGAACTCAATTTCATTACTTTGAGAGAATCCATACAAAGCCTAAACAAACAATTAAATAAAACAAAACATCAAAATCACATTGTATGCCTTAAAGGAACTGTAAAGCGTACTTTCAATGCAAAGATGCTCGATTTCCAACGATTTGTCTGATTCAAGTATGAATTAGATATCCATGTTTGTTTTCTTTACACTGTTTATTTTCATTTGTGGTTTCTCTGTAAAAGTGAAATGTGCATTTCTTGTTTATATGTAACACTGGAGCAATTCACAGAAATAAACATTTATCGAGTCAGAATAACGATGTTTTCTTCTACAACTTTAATCTGATAAAAGTTTCAAGGGTACCGTTGTAAATCGGACATTAATATCTTTGCCTTGAAGGTCACTTGAAATAACGCTTACAGTCTCTTTTTTCATTGAATAAATCTTAATTTCAATTTAAGAAAACGTTGTGTTATTTGGAGGTTACTGTAATATTAAAGGTTTATGGTTTAAGGACTAATATATCAGGTTTAGCATAATATATTATATCTGCAGAAATTAAACTTTTCTAAATCCATTAGTAATATAATTTCCTCTTCCAAATATTTGAATATTTAAACCTGAGAAAATATTTGAATACTCAAGTTTTAATTCTGATTGAAGTTAAGAAAACTTTTGAATATTTAAAAATCAGTTTAATGGTTAAATTTTTCCATCTTCCTTTATAAATGCTGCCATTATGAATATATATTTATGGTAAGCTCTCAGGGATTATACATTTATCCTAAGTGGAGAATTCAGAGCTTCCACGGCTTTAACCAAATTGTTAAATCCAAACCAAACTTAGAATCCAAATACATAAACCAAACTAAGTATCCAAATCAAATAAAGAAATCAAACAAAATATCCAAACAAAATATCCAAACAAAACTTTTAAAAAAAAACGGAATCAAAACAAAATACTTAAACCAATCACAGAATCAAACCCAAATACACCATCAATACTGAATACAGAATCAACAAAATTAAGGCAGAATACAAATACAGAAACCAAACCAAATAACTAAACTAAACTAAGCATTCAAACCAAATACAGAATCCAAACCAAATACAGAATCCAAACCCAATACAGAATCCAAATCATTTTGAGAATTTAATTCCAAACTAAATACAGAATCCAAACCTAATAAAGAATCCTAACCAAATACAGAATCAAAACCAAACATAGAATTCAAACCAAATACAGAAGTCACACAAAAAACAGAATCCAAACAAGACACAGAATCCAAACCAAATACAAAATCCAAACTAAATACAGAATACAAACCAAATACAGAATCCAAATCAAATACAGAATCCAAATCAAATACATAATCCAAACCAAATACAGAATCCAAACCAAATACAGAATCCGAATCAAACACAGAATACAAACCAAATACAGAATCCAAACCAAATACAGAATCCAAACCAAATACAGAATCCAAACCAAATACAGAAACCTTACCAACACCAAAACCAAACCAAATTCGAAATATAATCCAAATCAAGAATCAAACCAGCCATAAAATCCAAACCAAATGCAGAACTCAAATCAAACAACGAATCTAACTTTTCTGATATTGCATAAATATAGTTTGAAAACTATACAATGTATAGTATATGCAGGAAAGCGGGGAAACTAATTTAATTTATGAAATTACTTCTCCTCCTCCATATTTTAACAGAATTCAGGGCTCTACATTTGTATGGAATTTTATTCATTGAAATATACATTAAATTATTCGTTACTTTGATTTCTTATCATTTTAAATTGTTTTCTTTGTGGTTTAGTGTAGAAAAAGACGATATTTTTCAATTTCGGAACTAAATTTTTAATGAAAAAGACGTGTTGCCTATTTGGCCAGTGCATTTTTTTAAAGTTTTATTTTCCTTGACTGTAGTATTCTTTAAATAAAAATAAAATTTAAAAAACATTTAAAAATTTCTGAAGAGTGAAAACATGAAAAATAAAGTTTTTAAAAAATTAAAGACGACATTTCAAATACTCAATGAAAATCAAATGTACCTCGTCGTAAAGTAGAATAGGTCCTGTTGGTCCAACAATAATAAGAGGACAGCCTGCAAACAGCGCAAACACAATCCCAGACAAGCTGGACATGATCAGGGTCTCCGAGATCGCAATATCGTTTTTCGTCTTGGCTCCCATGAGACCTCCGAAAGCGATTGCTCCGGAGAGAGCAGCGAAGTAGATGAAGATAATGGCGGCCAGACACTGGGGACTGAAACCATCCTAGAACATAATTAAATTCATGAAAATGTAATTTTTGTCAGCATGTCAAAGTTTCAAATTCCTCTTTTTTAAAAGTATTACTTAAGTTTACAATTATATTGCAAAAACTAACCCCAACTTGTCTATTCAGAACTGTTTCAATAGTTTTGAAATGTTCACAATTATATTTAAAAATATCTGTAAAGATATTCTAAATTGCAATTGTTACAAGTTATATATGTCAATTATATTCAGGGTACATAAATTGATAATTGCAGATTGCATATTGCAGATTGCAGATTGCAGATTGCAGATTGCAGATTGCAGATTGCAGATTGCAGATTGCAGATTGCAGATTGCAGATTGCAGATTGCAGAAATAGAAACAAGAGTTTTAGTGTAAAATTGGCATTTTCGAAATATGTTTTTGATCCGAATATTATAAATTTGATTTTAAGATAATGAAATTCTTATAACAATAATAATGAAAATAATAATGATAATAATAATTACATCATCGAGGAAAACGTTGATAGCATGAAGCATCTCTCTCTTCCTTTCAACTCTATAGCAGATATCATGGAAGCTCTAAACACAATAATAATTAGACTTCAGTGATGATAATCATGAAAGTGTTGACATTGATGATAATAATGATAAAGATTATGATCTAGTCTCTTTTTCCTCCAGTATAGTCTCTTTTCCCTCCGATATGGTCTCTTATTGCTCCGAAATGACCTCTTTCCCTCCGATATTGTCTCTTTTCTCTCCGATATGGTCGTATCATTTCGTTCCTGGCATTAGAAAGAAAACCTTAGCTGGCGCAAAATATGACCTTCACCCTGACACCCTTTGCGTACGTCTTGAGTTACGTAGAATCTTCAGTTCTTAAAACAACCTTAACTGACGCATACTGGGATACCAACAATGAATGAAACTTTATGTATGAAAACTAAAAATATTACGATAAGGTGGTTCAATCTTGTGTTATATCTTAAATATAGTCATTATATGGTATGAAATTGATTTTAAAATACAGATACATTTAATATATACGTCCGTGATATAAATGAATAATATATATTATATAAGATAACAGATAACAGATTACAGATTACAGATTACAAATTACAAATTACAGATTACAGATTATAAATTACAAATTACAAATTACAGATTACAGATTACAGATTACAGATTACAGATTACAGATTACAAATTACAGATTACTCCAGATTACAGATTACAAAGTTCTTTGCGACATTTGAGACTAACACCAAAGAATGACGACGTCAATTATTCCATTATATTCAGATTATCAAACTAGAATTGAAATCGTTTTTTGATTTTGAAGGCTTTTAAAGCCGGTAACTCTTGCATTGTGTATATTGATATCAATCCTTTAAATATAATCGATATCCCGCATAGCAATCGTTCTATGAAGGGATAATTCAAATAAAGAGATTTTAAGCATTGATCCTTAAATCAAAAGTACCCAAGGTGTATATCATCTTCAAGCGAGTATCCAACAAACAAGGTCCCAGGTAAGATGATTAAATACCTTTATATCTGACCAGTAATGACGGTATCTATATTTAATATCATCGATAACTCCTCCGAAAGGAATATTGGTTCGTTCTAGAGGGTTCCTCCCTCCTCCTCCTCCTCCTTCTGGGGCAGACACCTAGAGCAATTAACAAGGTTTACTCAAGATACTTATTAAAATAGGATATTGATTTCACAAAAATATTAAAATATGCAATTTTTTAACGAAAATGATTCAAATAAGGGAGATTAATACGTTAATTATAAATTCCTAATGAATTGAGTCTTTTACATAATCTCAAATTTGCAAATCCCTCTTTGTTTTCAACTTTTGAATATTTGAAACTTAGATTATTTGATCTGACTGAATTCATAATTTAAATTATCTCGATTCTACAACATTTGGGATTATAAAATCAGAGTTTGTGACAAAGACTCAATTCCTTTGTTTCAGTTTCTTTTAAATCTGAGGAAAGAAATATTTGGCAAATGGCAAATTTTGGATTTCCAAGAAGAACCAAAACAAACAAATTAGCCAGACCAAATAAATCATTAACAAAAAAAATTAACTTTATTAGTAAAATTATGAGTTGTTTTCAATAGACAATATTCTTTCAAAGAAAATTTGTATTGCAATTCACAGTTGATCGCTTTATGGTGATTTTCTACGGTAGTAGGCGATTATATCAATATAATGAAGATGACTTTCGATTTCAATTTTGATTTATATCAAGCTTTTAAACAACATGGATACACAAAAACATGGAAACAAAGAGAAGTTGTCAATTAAAAAAGCTCGTCTTTAATTACTTGTAAACTTTCTAAAACAGTGTGTTAACAATTAAAACGTGAAAAATTCGTCTTTATTATATTAATATAATTGCCTACCACCTTCGTTTAAGATATGTTTAAAAATTAAGTATTTTGAGACTCATGAGTCATTAAATGTTATTAAATCAAATTATTCAATATTTATTTAGAATACAGTAAGAACCAGAAAACTGTGGAATAGGCAGACGACACGTTGGCAATTTGAAGTTGTAACAAAGCAAAAAGTTTTAATAAATTCCTTATAAAGTGAAATCGGTCTGTTTACACTGCAAGATTGCTATGCCTCATGCTCATTAGACTATTTAAAGTCATAACTTGAGCCTAAAAGTGGTCTTTCTATTTTTTGTTCTCAATGTAGGATGTGATTAAAAAATCTAAATCTGCTTCTACCTCTTCCTCTGGAGGTGGTTTAACAACCCCTCCTTCACTAGCAGCAGCTGCGCTACTCAGCAGAGCAGCTTGACGACGCTCTTGGCGTCGCTTCCTGACATCCATAATATCTCCTAGACCAAGCAGCTTCTGGTTGTGCCAATCTCCAGGGGGTAGAACGACGGACTAGTAATACAATAATGATAATAATAATAATAATAATAATACTAATAATACTAAGACGTAAAACATCGAATACATTTTATTTTTCAAATAATAAATACAGCTTAGATAACTTTACAGAAACTTAGAAACTTGGACAATTAGTCCAAGAAAATGTTAAGGATATAAGGAAGTCCTTTTAGTGTGGCATATTTAAGTAAATAAATTTGGGCCATTTTAAAGGGGAGATGCATGTAATCAATGGTCTATAAACTATTTGTATTAGGATGTATTGAGAATTCAGTGCTATGAGGAGAAAACAACAGATAAGGCTTGGTTTGGGTGTGATAGCAACATTTATCCTACTGCTCAATATTATCAGGAAACACAAATTAAACCATGTCAAAATGATGTAAAGGAATTGAGTCATTGTCACAAACTCTGATTTCTTAATCCTTTTATCTCTACAAATCAACGTTGTAGACCTTAGATATTTCAAACTATAAATTCTGATGGATCAAATAATCAAAGTTTGAAATATTACAGGTTTACGCTATCTGGTTTTAGAGATATAGGTATTAGAAAATTGGGATTTGTGGCAAAGAGTCAATTCCTTTAATGTTTGATTTAAACATGCTTTCAAGCAACTGGAGATATATTGAGATCAACAGAAAAATTTAAAATTTCTTAAAATATAGATTTTTTATAAAGCTTATTTTACGAATGTAAATGACATACTTCTTTGGTGTGCAGTTAAAGAAATCTATGCAAATGCAATCTAAGTTTGATACCAAATAAAATATAAATAAACGTATTTTCATGTACACTCTGTTATAAAAGTATATTGGATTGTCTAAATTTATACAATATCGTCTCAGTAATTTGATTAGAATTCTCGACTGGGTTAAATCTACTCCGAGACTTTAGTTGATTTATTCTACCCTGTGTTCTCTACATTCATGGAATTAAAGTTGTTTAAGCCATGCACAGTGCTTTAAATTGGTAGAAACGCGGGGTATTTTTTCCAAATTTTTGCTTTAGTTTCCCATCAAATCTTTTTAAGCTCTAGAAAGATGAGTTTTGTGAAAATCTTTTGAAAATATTGAAAAACTATAAATTTTTTTGGTTGCAACCATTTTGGTCTGGTATGAAGCTCCTTTTAAAGGTGTGGTTGAACCATCGACAGTAAATCTACAATGAACACAGACACACTTCATCTTTAAGTTTATTTGCAGGCTTAACTACTTATTATCTATTCAACAACATTAATTGAACATAACATGTCGCACATATCGTTCTCTAATTCCACAATGTTATGGGCCTCAACTTTTATTCTTTAAATTTTGATAATAATTAATTTTTGTTTGAGCAGAATTAATATTTCTGACCATCCTGGAGCAAAGGTTTATTATAATGACACATACAAAACCTGTAAACCAATTCACAAAATAGGATTCTTGAAGATTCATAAGGTAAGAAGGATCGGGTGGAGAGGGTGGGGAAGATATGTTTGCGAACTTAAAACCTCGCTTTTCCACTCCGCAAACATTTATCAGCTTTCCTTAGACACAAAATAGGTATTTTTCTTTTTAAGCCATTTTTGCTTCATTTCATATTAAACTAAGATAAATCTTTTTTCCTGAATTTGAAATTATCATCATGATTCTTTTTCATAATATCCTCATTAGTTTTCCCAGTAAAAGTTTTATTAAATAAATTAGTTTCTATATTTTAATTCAAAATAAACCCCCAGTAAAAGATTTTTTTAAAAATTAGAGTTGTGATTAAATGTAAAAACTTAAAAATTAATATTTTTCTAAAAAAGATTTTTTTCAGTGTGCTAGTAGCTCAGTACAGAATATTATACTGAGATATGCTCTGAAGAACCAGCTAAATGTAGTTCTACCAACCCGGGGAAATTATTTAGGAAATATTAAAAACCCATTTTCAAGGTAATTGCGATTCTTAACAAAGATTCATACCTAAAACTTATCCAGAATTTAAGGGGAAAAGAGGTAAGAATCTAATTAAAAATTTTATCTGAATTTCAATTAATTTCGGGGCAAAAGTTCTCCTATCTGAACCAATTCATTTTTTTTTAATTGTTAAAATATTCGTTGAGGAAAAGGAGGACAAGATACGACGACTGAGTTCAAAACCATATATATATTAATCCTTTGAAAACAAATTTTACAAACAAGAAAACAAAATAATGAAATTATGTTCTGAAGCACATAGTTTTACACGTTACATGGAAATTCACTTTTTCAATGAAAAAGCTCCGTATCGGCGTGTACACTGCACAGTTGATAAAAAATCATAGCTTGAGTCTAACAGTCCTCTTTCTTTACCATAGTTTTTTGGGTTCACTGTACTAAATGGATATACGATATATATTTACGAAGTAATGCGTTGTAAAAAAATAGTTTTATTGATCTAAACTCTTAACAGACTCTATCGCAAAAGCTATTTTTATTTTGATTGAAAAATGTCCAAAACACTCAAAGCAAATATTTGAACTGTTCTAAACTAAACATAAAGAGCGCATCTGAGAACATTTTAACAAAGGTTGTTTTTAATATTTAGTTATTTTTTCGACTCAATTTTTCAAACTTAATTTTCCCAATATTGTAAATTTAAAATTCTGTGTAATGCATACTTTATACTGTACACTAAACCCTGTACACTGCAGTACACTATACACGGTACGCTTTAAACTGTACACTGTACACTGTACAGGGAAATGTTGCGAGGCACCCCCTGGGAAGAAGCTGAACTAGAATATGATATTTTCTGTCTTCACACTGTTTGGAACCAGGAAACCATTTTATTTGATAATTTTAATTAAGTATCAAAAAAAAGACTATCACGAGTGTAAGGAAATGAAAAAGATATAATTTCTTTCTATTTACAAAACGATCAAAATAAAGAATTTTATTTGAGTTGAAATGTGCCCATCAAAGTTATTTTAAGAATTAAGAATTAGATCTTGGCAATTTTTTAACCGTAAAATCGAAATTTTAACAATAACTTAATTTGAGTGTCGTAAACAATTTGAAATGGTATCCTTTAAAATTCCTTTGAATCTAAAATGGAGATTTCGGGTTTTCTCTCTCATGCACCGTATCTTTTCAATAGAGCATAAGTATGGCTAAATCTGTAGAATAACGCTCAAAAACACCAAATTTAAGGTATACCATTACAAATCGTTGGTGGTATCTTTCTAGTAGGGTTTCCAATGCAATTGGATTGTATTTGCGCGCAATTGCGAATTTGTGAGCCCTTGCACACAAGAGAAATTAATTTCGTGCAATTCCGTAATAGTTCCGCGCCATTGTGCGCATTTCCGTTCCATTTTCGTGCGTTCGTGTTTCAATTTTAAGAATATTCAATTTAAACCTAATAGAACCCGATAAATGCAATTAATTATTGCGCAATTCCGTTCAACAACATTGAGTTTTAAAAAAATCAATTTAAACTTTGGTAGTGGCATACAATAAACTGAACTTCACTAACATTTCAGTCTCAAATAATAAGAAAATTAAATTTAAACTTATCTTTTAATTTCATAATATTCATATACAGAAAACTCTGGCATGGAAATACGACTTTTAGACTCTGGGGTTGTTTATAACTGAATAAGTGATTTAATAAGTTACTAATTATTTATTATTTATGTAACAACATCTATTGCACTGTTATGTTGTCTTCCTATACCATAGTTTTCTGGTTCTAACTGTAGCAAAATATCTTATTTTGATTAAATGAATTTTTACAATTTTAACCAAAAAATATTCATATTAAATTGTTAATTAGTAGCTTAACCTCAAGGATATTTTAAAAATATTGAAACAATATCAAGTGACCTATGGAATTTTTAAAAAATCTACAGAGATAACTTCTGTCCATTTCTATTCTTGTATCTGATGCATAAATTTGTAAGCCACAGTTCAAAGTTATTGATTTTTAGATGGAAAAGCCTTTGCAAAGCAATTTTGTTGCACGCAATTCCGCGAATACTTAATTGCTTCCTTGTTGGCAATTATATCACAATTCTTCGCAGTGAAATAGCGCAAGCAGAACCGATCATAGTGAGCGATTCCGTGCAACGGAATTGCGATTGGATTGGAAACCCTACTTTCTATAGTAACGTCGACAGAACCTTTAAATTTTTGAATATTTAATAATTGTTGAATAAATGATTTGATGGCAGAGTGAGGTTGAGAAAACCCTAGGGGAAGGAGCATCTTATGTAACCATGATTAGGGACTAGAGCCGCAACTAAATCATAAAGGGTATCACCCCCCCCCCCCCCCTCCCGTTTTTTTTTGCCATATTCAAAACTTGATTTACCCTCCAAAAAACAGTCCATATATAGACCTAAAAAAAATGAAAATTTGCCTCAAAATATAATTTTCTAATCCCACTTTTATATATAACTTGGACTATTTGATCTTGTAAAATTCATAGGTCTACACCAAACAGTTTTATGGATTAAAAAAAATATAGTTGAGGAGAGTTATCAGTTCTATTGTTTTAAAATATATCAAAAACATGCAGTGGAATACCCCCCCTTTATAAATCTGAAGTTGCGCTAATAAAGGGATCCTGTTGATATATTTGAATCAGCCTGGGGGTATGCACAATTATCAAACTTCTACAAGATGGATCTAGAAACATTTGCTCTATCTCCGAAAACAGGATTATTGGCAGAAGAGGTAAGAATAAATATTTTGTGTCAAAACTGGGGTCTGTCCTAGTGAACGATTTTTGGACCCCCCCCCCCCAAAAAAAAACAAGAGAACCCTGTTTTCAATATGCATGTTTGAATTGTATATATTCTGGTCTTTTCAGAAACCTCGGATAGAAATAAAAGTAGTAACTTTCAAATACAACTAATAAACACAAAACCAGTTTCTCGGCGAACAATCCCTTTAATTGAACAATCTTTTCAGAACCCAACAAAAACATTTGGACAAAACCAGATCCTTCGTGATTTTGGTTTACACCCTGACAACTTTACCAATGGTTTAGCTGTTGAGGAGAAGATTAAACAAATAGAAGATAAATTTAATCTCGTTCTTCTTGCAGAAAGGTAACAGTCTAAAACTTAGGATAGATACTTTTGAAAAAATTGACGCTAATTTATAATGCGGGATTTGTATCAGAGAAAAAACTATAAACTTTAAAGTAATCTTTGAAATGTAGCTACTAGCTGACTATTATTTGAAATGTAGCTACTAGCTGACTATTATTTGAAATGTAGCTACTAGCTGACTATTATTTGAAATGTAGCTACTACTAGCTGACTATTATTTTCACAAAATATTATTTGCCGAGAGCAGAATGTTGGGTTCTTCTAATAAGTCTGACCTTTTTATCTTAATCCACTAGACTACAAAAGATACGGATTAATTCTTTCTGATTGGATTAACGTACTATAATTTTTTGAAGAATTTATAAAAACTGATTTTGATCTAATTTTTAAAAATCTTAACTAAACTTTTGTAATTAGTCGGGGTTAAAATTTTTTACATTGATATGCATCTTAACAAAGTTTAAAGACTCTAAATCTATAATCAGGATCTTGCAAAAAAAAACTAAATAAACTGTTATTCTTGGTCTAGAGTTGGATTAAAGTATAATGATCTACACAAATCTAAACAATCAATACATAATTGGTCAAAAACTTATGAAAAATTATATTTATTTTGTCTGGTTCAAGATATGCAAGATGATCTTAATCTTTACTAGTTTCAATAATTCATACATAAAGATTCAAGTCTTTTCATATTTAATGTTATTAAAATCAATCTTTTCAGGTTTCAAGAATCCATGATTCTAATGAAGAACGAACTGTGCTGGGATTACAGGTAAAGATATGAATTATAAAAACAAAATCAACGAATCGAAGAACAAAATCTGATAGATGAAAGTTTGAAATTTCCAACCCTTGTATTGTTATTCTAATTGTATCTAGGGATGTAATAAATATGAAGTTAAATGCAAGACAAGAACTAAAGAAGACTAGCCTCAGTCCAAAAGCTAGAGAAGCTCTAGGAAAACCGAAACTAAGTTTTCTCCGTAAATTAATTATTTTTTTCATTCAATTAAATCTTTCTCTGTTGATTTTTTATTCTCATTTTACCAGCGGCCTAAAGGAATTGAGTCTTTGCCACAAACTCTGATTTTTTCATCCCTATATCTGAGCAACCCAATGTTGAGGACCTTAGATATTTCAAACTATGATATGTGAGTTCAAATATAATCTAAGTTTCAAATATCAAAGGTTTACACCATCAGGTTTCAAAGATATAAGGCATTCGAATATTTGATTTTGTGGCAAAGACTCAGTTTCTTTAAATGTCGTACTGTACTGTCGATGATTAACAATTGACACTTGATTAAATAAACTATATTCTCCATTCACAACAGTACCCTGTAAACCTTTATCTCACTCTTTACTGAATGATCCAAAAAGTCTCTTTTATAAAGATATCGCAATCGAAAATTGTCAAAATTCAGATTGATACACAAGGATATTTCCAGAAATTAAAATCATTTTTTTGTAAATCGTGTTTTAATTGTTTTTGCCTCAAATAGAGGGTCTACAGTCCCTGTGTATCTTCTTTAATAACTGATCTAAACTAAAAAGATGTAATTTTTACAGCAAAGATTAACATTTGATCCAAGCTATAGCTTCCGTAATTCAATAAAGTTTGGTGATTTTAGAGAAATATTTGAGCCAAGATTATCTAGTGTATAATCATTTCAAGAAGATATTCGAGAAGAAAGTAGAAATGTTTGGAAAGGAAAAAATGGAAAAAGAGCTAAATATTCTTGATCATGCAAATAAAAATATAAGGGTAAGTCACAATTATAGGGTTATCAGAATTATAAAATTTTCTTGGGATAAAGAACATTATTGAAAATGTTCTAAAAAATACTTAAAATTTTTATTTAGTTCAACTGATTTTATTTTAGTTTCATAAATTTGATAAATAAAAAATGTTTATCTAGGAGGTGTGTTCACTGCAAGAGACTAAAAATGAAAATATATCTGGAGAAAATAAACTGTGGGGAAAGGGTCTAGTCGCATACCAGGCATTCAAAATATAATTTTTTATTATAAGTTTTTGATAAAAATTCTAGTTTAAATTTTTATAACTTTGTTAATATTGGAATGCATATTTGCCTCAAACAATAATTGTCTAATCTTTTAAACTTTGAAACATGATGTTTTAGACCTTTGATTTCGGCTAGATCAAATATTAAACAAGGTTGAAAAGATATCGGGATTAAAATAAGAATTTTTATAAGTGTCCATTTCTCTTTTGATCTTTTCTTATTTAAATAGTTTATTATTATGGTTCTTTTGCAATATTTTTGAAAAAAAATAATCTCGCGATATTAATTTAGGAAATGTAAACGAAAAGACATTTAACAATTTTTAAAAGTTTGTTTAAAGTTCAAATATATTTTGAATATTTCAGGTGGATATTGATAAAAACCCCGTGTGTCGGTTTATGGCATTATCAGAACTAAACTTTCTTCAAGTTATGAGAGAGGAGCAGTCCCTTAGAGCAGAACCAATTTTAAACCGTAGAAACAGAACAGAACAAGTTTTACGAAAAGATTTCGGAATTCAGGCAAATCAAGCAGCGCTGTCTAAACTCAAACCTAGAGATCTCGAGAGAATAAAAGCAATTCTATCCCCAGCATAGTTTTTGTCAATGCTCACTTATTGCGAAAAAGAAGGGGGTGAAGGGTAATCCCCCCCCCCTCTCCAGTCTGCAAGGTACAGGATTTGAGAAAACACTGTTTTTGATAAGTATTGCGCCCTCCTAAAACCCTCTGAGGCCAAATTTAAAGAATTTGAGCTGCGGCTTGAATTTGAGACTCAAATATAGTTGGTTCCACTTAAAATTGTATTCAATGTTTCAAGATATAAGCCGGCGCTCAATTTAAACCAGTTTTTTGGCGGATTCGAGACGCGGCTCAAATTCATTAAATTTGGACTCTGAGTTCACTAATACTCGACTTAAACTGTGATAATCAAGATATTAATACGTTTTGTTACATATTGACAAAGTTAAAATTATGATATTTTGTAAACGTATCTGTTAATGTGTTATAAAAAACTAGTAAGTTTGTGCCAATTATTTTGTTCTCGTTGAAGAGAATCAACAATGTCGTCTTTCTAGATGGGAAAATAAAATTAAGTAAACCATAAAAGCACACAAATTGAAATTGTAGAAGAATTTATATCGTGCTACGATTTACAAGCAGTCAGTTGAAAAACAATAAATAACTATTTTAATTTGTATTTTATGTTCTGTCAAGATCCAAGAATAAAAAGAAGGAGGTAGAAACATGAAAATGAAAATGAAAATGAAAGATGGAAAAAAGTGTAACTATGAATTGAACTTGACCCACGCTTGGTGGTACACACTTTGGCCTGTGTGGCCAACCGCCAATGACAACCCGCTAATCCCTTTGGGGATAGTGCGGTGACGTGGGCTCTTCCCATACCTCACTTCGGACTGATGGGTGACTGTTTTATTTATTTATTTATTTATTTATGAAGGTGATGCTGTTAAATACAGGGTGTCCCAAAAACACCAGAATTCAGTGACTTATTGGATATCGTCTTTTTTATGAATTAGCATAGTAATGCCTAATTTTAAAAGCCATAATATTACTATTATGTCTGCTAGAGTTTATTTTATGAAAAGGGTAAAAGATGTGTAAAGATGTGTCAATAATGCCTCCGCAATATGAACAGTGAAGACGGACAAGTTTACTCTGTTTGTATACTGCAATTTTCTTGTTTTACTAAGTACAACCGTATGCAGTCAAAACATAAACAAACAAAATGTGAACATAGCAGACGAAACTCTTACAGATTACAGCTTTCTCAGTGGGTATCACTATACTAAATCAAAGAATTATTTAAAAAGACGATATCGAATTCGTTACTGAATGCCCATGTTTATTGGGCCACCCTGTACGATGAAAATTCTGAAGGGGGTTGTTCAGATTATAATATGTAAAAGGTAAAATGTGTTTCAAACATTGATAAAAATCAAGAGTTAAGAGTGAATCCTAAGATAACAAGGCGTCTTCTCTTAAAAAATAGACAAAAGGTTCGTTCTAAAATTATAAATTATGTCATTTTATTGCTAAATTTGACCTTTTTCGACAGAAATAATGTTTTGGTTCCTTTTTCAAGTAATTCTAGTATTCTACATCATCCATTAAGTTTTCAAATATCTGTGCACTGTCCCTTTAAAGTTATAAAAAAAATGTACTCACCACATTTGACATTAGTGTTGAGAAGGATCGGCCGATCTCGTGAGGATCTCTTGTGAAGTCATTCTCAGGGGTTAACAGGATAAAAATAAACCTCATTGGTAGATTCACCTGCAATCATATTCATAAAATTATTTATTTAATTACAATTGTGAATTAAATTATTTATTGAAATGATTTTTTTACAAAAGAGAAAGGAAAAGGTTTGACTTTCTAATTTACTTAAGATAAAACTACTTTAGCTGAAATAACCACATTAAAAAAATAAATTTTATCGATTTACAAATTCATATTTGTAATGTCAATTATTTGTTTGTGTCACCCATTAACGCCATGAAAGGACTGAACCGACTGTAAAATCATAAGAAATTAAAAATTTCCCTCTGAAAAAAAAGACTTTGGACAATTTTTTTTTAAAACAAAAATATGCGCAGTAAAATATTTTTGAAAATGAAGAACTCGAAAAAGGCTAAGTTACTGTTGTTGTTTTTCATTAAAAAAAAAAGAAAATATTAAATACAATCTGTCAAATAAAACAAGGAAATGAACCATCCCCTCGAGAAAAATGTTAACTAGATAGTATATGATAAGTCTATAAAATAATCCTCATTCCTGACCTCTATTGTGTTGTTCATAACTATGGAGTTAGCGAGCCTAACAAATGCTGAAACTGTTTTCTCGATCCTGGCAGGTCCTACAAGAGTTAAACATCCTTCAGTACCCTCCTCTAGGCATGCCAGGATATCTTGCTTCCTAGACAACAACAAAAAATGATTATCAAATAATCAATTAATCTGGTTTGAAGATTTTACATATTAATCTTTCAGATTTGGCGAACACTGATTTTCTCATTGACTAATATTGCTGTTCGTGTGTGATTGATTAACCCTAAATCTAATAAATCTAATAATATTTAGCTTTCAACTTGTTTTCACGGCTGGCGCTGGATTTTCGAACATTCCTGGAAATTATAAAGATGTCGTCTTCATTATCAAAAATCCTCGAAACAGGAATAAATGTTTTCAAAAGTAACTCTCGGACCATAAAAAAAAAATAAAAATATTATGAAATATCAACTATATACGAATACGTGGAAAAATTATCAATGAATAAAGGTTGTAATATCTGAATAATTTGTTTGGAATTGAATTGATTTTTTTTTACGATCCCAGTCGAGTGTTGCAACTTTCTGAATTGGGGTGGACGCGCTACGTCCTTCGGTATGAGTCGTTTTTAACAATTTTCCCCTTATAGACGCAACAAATAAAAGTAAGATTAGTAGATAAGATAAGGTAAGGGAGGATCTGAAGACCCCCCCCCCTGGAGAGCCCAGACCGCCAACGAATATTTTTCGCCGTAAGCCTTTTTCGACAACACACCCTTTAAGCCTTTGACAAATGCATATAAAAACATGTAACACACTCATGTAAATTTAAGTATTTGTCAAAAGTTTTCACATTTTCTCCACCTTTTTTTGCCTTTTTTTAACCTTCTTAGCACCTGAACCATAAAAATGGTGTTGTGAAATAATTTATTAACGGTAAGGAATTAATGATTAACTTCTTAACCAAAAGTTTGGCGTTTCGACATTTTTCTGAAAAATCGAATAACTTTTTTTCTCGCCACTTACCTGGAGGTTAGATGCTGTTCAGTAAATGAATCACTGCGACGAAGAAGACCAGTGCTACTTCTCTTAACAGTAGCTCCCAATCCATCCATCTCGAGCTAAAATAGGTTTGTTCTTCAAGATTAAATAAATATTTTTTATTTTTTTTTTATTTTTAAATATAACAAATTAATTTAAGCTTATTAATCCCGAACTGCGAATGTGGTGTTTTCGTAGTTTTCAAGATAAAAGCTGAAAATGTTATTTGAATTTAAAGTCCAATCCGCCACGTAATTTGAGTATTTTTCAAATTGAAAATCATAGTATTCCCTATTTTCTAGGGACAGGGCTAACCAAAACAGATAATACTCGCTAATCGGTTTCCTCCATTGACATCATTGGGCTTTGCAAAGCGTCCATAAAAACATAGAAGTAATTGTTCACCAAACGTGAGAATCAATTCTAAATGTTTAAAATTTCCTTTCAGTTTATATATTTATGTCATTATTAAGTGCGAAATAAATTTTGCCAGGATTTAAATTTTTTCTAGAAAGTTGAAAATCAAAATGCAATTTTATAATTAAATTGAGTAAAATTGAATAAAACTGAAAATGGCACTGTAATGAATATCATGCGTGCGAAATTTTTTTCGCACTTACAATATTCCATTACAATAACTTAAATAGATATTCTGTTTGCTTTTAAAAACTGCCGAGTGGGACCGAATTTCTTATCTTCAACCCCCCACCCCCATGAAAATTGTTATTGCTCTGTAATTTACATTAAAAATGCTAACTGTTATATTAAAATTAACAATGTCTGTTAAGAGGGGTGCGAAGCGTTAAGAATTTTAAAAGAATTAATTTTCACCAACCTTGATCTCGTCTTCCTTCTCCATCACATTAGAGTTTGAGTCCTTAACATCAAAACAATTAAAATAAAATTAAAAACTTGGAAAGAAGCAATGGAAGAGAAAAAAAATTGAAAGAAGTTAGGGGAAAAAGGGAAAAAAAGAATGGAAAATGGAAGAAAAAGTACAAAAATCTAAATTTAATATAATTTATCAATAATCTACACAATAATTTAAACTATTTGTCCCCCAATCTACATAATTACAACTACTTTATATTTGTTAGATAATAAGAACATCTTCTAAAAAATACGTCTGATAAACATATCTTGTAATTATAAACCTTAAAATTGGTTTCCCAAAATTTTATATATTTTGTGTTAAAAATAGAAAATTTGAAATTAAATTAATTTCACTAGAAAACAACGTCTCAAAGCTTTCTATCTCTATTGAAAGGTTTAAAAGCAGGAATATTAAGTTTTGTGTACGTAGAATAATAATTTCAAAATGATTTTTTGTCATGTTAGATTTAATAACATTAACTTTAAATGTCAGTCTTCAAAACAAAAAGGTTTCTACCTCACTTTAAGATTGTTAAAACTTCTTAAATAAAAATAAAATAAAATCAAGAATTTTCTAAAATTCATAATTATACAGAATATTTATATGTAGAGAAATCCAATGTTTTCATATTCTTAAGAATACTAGTTCATGACAAAAACGCGATTTTGTCGATTCTCATGATTATTCTGACTACCAGCACATACTTAAACTATATATCTACAAGATATTGAATATAATATATATAAGGATCTAACCCACTAGAGCAAGCATGCTTTGATTGTGTATTTACAATATCTTAATCTTACCCTTGGTTTTTTTTCAGCAGACTTCGGGAAGAGAAAAGATTTCAAATGTATTAAAAAGTTTTCTTTAAAGAATTGTGAACGTAATTTTCATTGGCCCTTCAATTAAAAAAGGAATGGAGTTTTGGCCATGTTGTCAAATTTTCTTATCCCTCAAACAGAATTCTAAGTTGGAACTATTCAAGTTCAGATTACAAAGATATAGGGATAAGAAAAAAAAACTCTGTTCCTATACAACGAAACTTGTAATAAACCTTTATCCGTGAAATCAAAGAAAATCTGAGGAACTTGTTTAAGCATTTATTCCTAAAATGAAGGTCCAGTAAACATCATGTAAACAACCCTTCAAAACCGAGGTTCATATGATCCCTTGAGTAAAAAATGCATGCCTCTTTTTTCTCCTGTGACCGTGATGAGCTTTTGTATCCTCCAAACGAGGTTCTGTGAACTCCCATAAATGATGATTTCTTGGTTTCTGAATCTACAGATTTCTGTGGTTCGAATCCAAACGAACTACGTTGACCTTCCAGCATTTCCTGAACATTGGAGTTTCTACAACTCTCGACCAAGGATTTGATTTTTAAAAAGCCTTGACCAAGTAAACTTATTGCATCTGACCAACACCAATGACCATGTTAACATAAAATAAAGACCTCAACTTTCTCATCGAATTAATTGATCTCATTTTTTACAGATTTAAGTGGCCTCATTAACTTGATTTCATATTTTTTTGACAACGCTAATTAATCATGTTTTAAACAGTTTTTTAGTTGAACAAAACAGAAGAACTGAACACTTGTCTCGAACTCTAATTTTCTAATACGTGTATTTTGGTATCCTGAGACGTAGATTCTATATATATTAAATTATGCATTCTGATTTCTCAAATAGTCATAGTTTCAAATATCAAAGGATTAGAAATTCAGAGAGTTTTCAGTTAATTTGTTTTAAAAAAAAATACGATTTTTTACAATTTCAATTTAGTTGGGAAAACATTCTTTTTTAGATAGGAATACACAAAATCTTGATTAGTATTGATGTCAGAGGTCATAATAAGGATAAAGGCACTTTTTTGGCGGTGAACCCCCCCCCCCCTCTTCTCTATTGACAGAATTTTATATTCATACTTAATGAGCGTAATGGAAAATAACAGCTTAGAAATAAAAATAAACATTTACGTTGACATTAATATTTGCTTGAACGGAAATTTACAAATATTGCGTGAGTTTAGTTAAACACCTTGACTTAAAGTCAAGTTTGACCAGTTTATCATTTTTTCCTCTGAAATGTCAGTCATTGAGAAGCAATAATGGATTTTTAATTGACAAAAGATAAAAGATTTCAGCCAATTTTTATTAGAATTGACAACTAGTAATAAATAAAAGGTTTGTTATTGACAGTATGAAACACACTCCAAATCAAAAAAAAAGGTTCTCAGACCTTTCATCGGAACTTTGTTCAAATCCCCTTGTAACAATTTTGTGCAAAAAAGTATTTAAAATATACGAATTAGGAATATATCAGGAACCACCATGAAATAAACTGTTTTTACACGCAAAGTGCTACCCAGGCTAAGTTTTGTTTACATTCTTCCCTGAAACTGCAGTACATATTATTCTATGAAAGATCTTAATGCTTTTTATATATTCGCTGGGAGAGTGTTCAGGAATTTAAATGATAATTGTGTTGAAAGTTGTTATCTTAGGAAGTAGGTGTCAAGGTTTCATTATGAATTGCCGAAGAAGGAAAAAGATTAAAAATATTAGTTTGGGTTTTCGAGTTGTTAGAGTTGGAAATGGTCGAGTTTGGTTAGATATTGCAAAGGTTTGGTCAAAAATTGGGTTTAAGTTGGGTTGGGTTTGGTTGTAAAAGGAAGAAACAGGATAATCTCGACTGACCCTATACCCCTGGACATGAGGCCCATTGCTGGAAACTAAAAATTCCCAATTTTCCTAAAATAGTTCAAATTTAATAAATTAAAATAAAATTAAATGTGATTTAGGAAAAGTGTTCACATGCGGTTCTCTTCATTCAGTGCAAACCCTGAAACCATGTTTAAATATTTACAATCCTTCGCCTGATACCTTGTACAATAATTAAAACCGAATGGAGTGCACCATGAACTGCTGTACAGTGTACACCATGAACTCCTGTACATAAACCTCTGGGTTGTACTGTACCTCCGACTCAGGATCCTGGGACTGAGAACTATGTTTTTGGGAGTAAAAACTCCGTTTCTTCTTGGAGGGTTTAGGATCATCTGAAATTCCCTATACACATCCAATAGAATAGATGATTAAGGAATACTTACTTTTAAAGTCGTCATGCTTTACATGATTATGTAGTATATACACTGTACAAAGCTTAAAAATTTAAATAAATAACTATTTAATTTAATTTTAACTAAAAGTGGGTCATGCTGGTTTGTCCCCATAGGTCAAAGTGCCCAATCTTTGAATTTAAAAATATCTTTTAAATATTCTTAAAACCAAAGAACTTTCTCTTAATCGAAATTTCAATTTTGAAGATAAGATCTCTAAAATAACATTTTAAATTTTCGAACTTTATGGGGGAAAAAAAATGCAAAAATCAATGGTTTCTATAATGAGTTAAAAGAAAAGATAAATGACGAGAATTTTTTTTTATTTTCCCCCGAATTCAAATATTATTTAACTGCTTTTTCTTTTAAAAGAACAGTTAAGTGTTCAACATCGGAATCTGATATTTCAACTGATGATAAGTTTTGAAAAAACATCCGCTTTAATTTCTATGGCGAAGTACTTTTTTACAAGAAAATTTAAAAGCTTTGTCATGAATTTGCATGTTTTATTAGATGATAAAGTGTTAAGTAACATTGTTGACTCGTGAGAAAGTGTTCGAATGGGCACTTTATTTGATTGTCTACCAATATTTGTATGTGTGTCTTGTAACTAGGTTTAACTATGTGTGTGTCCCAAGGTTTATGAAAATATACAAAGTAGGTCGATCACAGATTACACAGGTTTGACAGGAAAGATGGTCGTTATCTTTGGTTCATTATAAGAACCTCCAATCTTGTATTTGACCAATAAAAAATGAGCGGACATAGTTCGAGCTGACCGGGCACAGTTCTAGCTATCGAAACTTTAAATCTAAGAGCAATTATAACGAAGCTGCTCTCTCATGGTCTGATTGGGTGTGGGCGAACTGTTGGCTTCTGATTGGTATTAAAAAAAATAATCAATCCAATTTGTGAGTTGTCTTGATAGAATCTCATAAAACTTCAAGAAATTTGATAGAATCCCATGAACATTAAACGAATATCATAAACTTTGATAGAATATCATAAGACTTTGATAGAATCTCATTCACCTTTGATAGAATCTCATAAAATCTAAGAAATGCTCGAATCAAGAACAGATTGATAACAATATCAGGGAAAGGAACTAAATCATAAGACAAAACGGTGTCTGGTCAAAAATATAGTTTGTCTATGATTTTAAACGTTTCTTGCCCTATCTGAGTAATCTGTGAAATCAATAAATATGGGATTAGAGAGTATAGTTGGCATGTGAAATATGTTCCGTCCCATATTTATTGAATATCCCTGTCTACTGGTTGCACTGTGCTCTATATTATAGTAAAAGGACATAACTTAGGTGGTTTTCTTTTACTTATAGGTTTTTGGACTTTAAAAGGTTCTGCACAACAAAAGTTTGAAAAATGTCATAATTGTTTCATTAAACTATGGCAAATTTTTGACCTGGAGAGCAAATATATGCAAAAAAAACGAACAAAACATATTTTTTAAAATATTGCAAAGCACAATAACTTTTACAGAAAGCAGTTGGGAAAATTTGGATCCTTCACAAGTTCACAGTTTTTGTGTTGTGCCTTGAAAAAATTCTAAAAGCGTAAAAGTTTTTTTAAAAAACCACCACGTCATGTCCTATCACTAGGCCTATACATGACTCACCGGTAGGGACTTGTTGGAGGTGTTCCTCTTTAAACCGAACCTGAAGGTGTTGTGGTGGGGCTCCACGTGCTTGTGCCTGTAGTTCAGCAGCCTAATCATAAATTCAAATCATTTTCCGTTTGCAAAATATGTTTTTTCTTACTTAAGGGGAGTATTTGCGAAAAGTGAAAAGAGGTTTACTCTCTGTATTATTACCTAAGTATATCAGGTTTATCCTCTGTATTATTACCTAAGTATATCATGTTTATCCTCTGTATTATTACCTAAGTATATCAGATGTCGTTTTCCATTGGTGCTATTGTTTTACATGATTGTACAATTGGCGTCTTCCATTAATGGTGCTATTGTTATACATGATTGTACAATTGTCGTCTTCCATTGGTGATATTGTTATATATGTTTGTACAATTGGCAATGCTCCATTCTATTGATAGACTTCAAGAAAACGAAAAAATATTTTTTTTAAATAATTAAATGAAAATTCGACCATCATTTCGTAGATATTAACCCCGGGCCCCATCAAAAATATATATAAAGGGAGTGTTCATTGCTATTAAAACGTATAGGATAAGAAAATAAATATATTGCGCTCAGATAAGTAAAGTGTTTCGTATTTTACAGTATCTTTCTCATTTTATTTCTATGGCAAGAAATTTTTAATCGAGATAATTAAATTCTACAGTGAGCCAATATAATACTACCGGGAGGGGGGGGGGTAATTTTCATCCCCTCCCCCTCATTTGGTGTATATTCATAGTCTACCTGACATTAAGTAAAGATCTGAAAGTAAGAGTAGATACGTGAGGTTTCCCCCATCTCCCTGCATCAGCCTCCAGATCCTCCTCATACTTGATCCATCTCGCCTTCTCCACCCACTCCTCACCCTCCAGCTCATCCATCTCTACGAAGAGATGGTGAGGAGTGTGATCAACCTCCTTCAGGAATCCATACTTCGCAGCCCTCTCCGTTTTAGTAGGCTCCTAATAGTAATATTTTAATTAAATACATTTACACTTTTAGGTATTGAGATACCTTTAACATACACTGTTAGATCAATAAAATATTATTATCAAAACATTTTAGTTAAACATCCCGAAAAATGTATAAAAAATCGTAGGTTGTTTTGGCAGCAAAAATTGGATTGCTGCCGAATTACCTAATAAATGGCTTATATTTTAAAATATCTCTTATGTAATATTTTGATGTCATTCAATTTTTGCTGCGAAATAATTTAGATTTCTAAATTTAGATAGGGAACTGTACTGTACTGTACTGTACTGTACTGTACTGCAGCTGTACTGTACTGTACTGTACTGTACTGTACTGTAAGCTGTTTATTGTACCTGATCAACATCTATGGAGATGGAAACGGAAGTTTTCTTAATCTTGTGTCTACCCCAACCAGCAGCCTTCTCAAACCTTGAAAAAAGTATCTTAGTAAAAAAAACTAAAAATCATAAATTGTTCTATTTTAATGTTTGCTATTTTACTTTTTAAAATATATGAATGTACATGAAAATGAATTAAGAACCTGTTCACCCATCAGTCATCACCAGCCCTGAATGGATGTTGCCAGGTTAAAAATAAACCTTTCTTTCTCTAGGATAGGTAGATAACTACGCCTAATATACTTCAGTGCTGAGAAGTTTACAAAGTTAATAATAAAGTATCAGGCAATATTGCTCGTATTTTATCATAGACTAATCTTTCACAGTGGTACAGATACTGTCAGATAGGGACTAGATATTTGCTTATTTAGACTAGCCTTATCCTGATGAAGTGTTACAAATAGGAGACTAGACATTTTTACTTATATACACTAGACTAATCTTTCACAGTGGTACAAATTTGGGACTAGATATTTACTTGTTTAGTCTAGACCTATCATCCACAGTGTTACAAATAGGGGACTAGACATTTACTTATTTATACTAGACTAATCTTTCACAGTAGTACAAATAGGGGACTAGACATTTACTTGTTTATGCTAACCTTATCATACACACACCAATTCAGATAGGGGACTAGACTTTAATTTGTTTATACAGATAGGAGACTAGACATTTATTTGTTGGTACAAGACTAATCCTGCACAGTGGTGTAGATAGAAGACTATGTACCTTGGACTGTTAATATGTAACAGTGGCTACTAATATTCACTGTGGACTCACCAAAATATACATTTGACTACCAATATTTATATGTGATTACCAAAATGTACGTTTGACTACCAATATTTACTTGTGACTACCAAAACGTAACTGTTACTAAACTACCAGTGATTACCAATATTAACCTATGACCACCAAAGGGTACTTTTGGCTAGTAATATTAACATTACTATAAATATTTAACTATGCCTACTAAAGAGTACTTATGGCTACTTATATTAACATGACTATTAATATTTACCTATGCATACTAAAGAGTACGTATGGCTACTAATATTAACATGACTATTAATATTTACCTATGCCTACTAAAGAGTATGTATGGCTACTAATATTAACATGACTATTAATATTTACCTATGCCTACTGTATGGCTACTAATATTAACATGACTATTAATATTTACCTATGCCTACTAAAGAGTACTTATGGCTACTTATATCAACATGACTATTAATATTTACCTGTGCCTACTAAAGAGTACGTATGGCTAGTAATATTAACATGACTATTAATATTTACCTATGCCTACTAAAGAGTTCGTATGGCTAGTAATATTAACATGACTATTAATATTTACCTATGCCTACTAAAGAGTACTTATGGCTACTTATATTAACATGACTATTAATATCTACCTATGCCTACTAAAGAGTGCGTATGGCTAATAATATTAACATGACTAGTAATATTTACCTATGCCTACTAAAGAGTACTTATGGCTACTTATATTAACATCACTATTAATATTTAACTATGCCTACTAAAGAATGCGTATGGCTACTAATATTAACATGACTAGTAATATTTACCTATGCCTACTAAAGAGTACGTATGGCTACTTATATTAACATGACTATTAATATCTACCTATGCCTACTTAAGAGTACTTATGGCTAATAAAATTAACATTACTATAAATATTTAACTATGCCTACTAAAGAGAACGTATGGCTACTAATATTAACATTACTATAAATATTTAACTATGCCTACTAAAGAGTACGTATGGCTACTAATATTAACATGACTATTAATAGTTACCTATTCCTACTAAAGAGTACTATGGCTAATAAAATTAACATGACTTTTAATATAATATTTACCTATGACTCCCAATATCTTCAATATCAGCATCTTTCAGATTCTGCAGATCGTCTTCTGTTACAGGTTTAGCTGCTGCTCCAGCTGCCTCAGGTCTGATGAAATATTTTTCATTTTTTAATTTAATCCCAAGATTTAAGTGCCAATAAAGTAAAATTAAACCATGTAAGTGGTTTTGAAGGGGGGAGGGGAATATAAAGCTTTGAATACCATTTCCAGACAGTGGTAATCAGTTTATAGCCAATTGATTGTCGTCTTCTTCTTCTTTTAATGAATTATTGTGCAGGATTTTGTTATTTGTAATTTGTGCCTAAAATCAATGTCTTCTTAAAAATTAAGAATTATCAAACGTTATAATAAATAAATAAATAATTTTCCTGATTGAAACGAATTTAAATGACAGGAGAAAACACAAGGATATCAATTTTATTTTAAAACGAAATCAATTTAAGTTTTATTTCCTTGTTTTAGATCAAATAAGACTGGTAACACATAAAGTAATTCTTAAGTCGATTGATTTAGTTGAATTCAAAAGATTAAATAATATTTTAAATAAACTTTTAAATTTTAAAAAATTGGATTAATTGCAGTTACACCATTGGAAACCATAAAATTCAGAACTAAATGCAAAATTGCATCGATAACTCCCCGTATACGACAACAGGTTCATTAATGGTAAAGTAAGCTTTAATTAAATTTGACCATAGATTAATTAAAATAACAGATTGGACACTAGATGTCGTCTTTTCAAGGTTTGGTTGACACTCTTTCACAGTAACCCTGAGGCAGGGGAGTTTCGCACACCCGACGTTTAAGTACAAGGCAGAGAGAGCCTGTTCTACGCCAACTGCGTGAAACTCCTCAGGGCTGCTACGTCAGGGTTATTTTGAACGAGTTTCATCCAAATTCTGAAAAGACGACATCTAGTGTCTCATCTGTTATCTTAATCTGAATTTGACATTATCATTTTAAAAGATTTCATAAAAATTAAGCTTATTTTTAATCATTGAAATAATAATAATAAAATTTGCCAATACATGTAATTGTATCTTCACAAAAGCTAAAGATGTTAGTTTTCAATAATATTATGCGACCAGTTTTATGCAAATTGACGGTATTAATAGAAGAATTTTTAGTTATCTACTTCAACATGTTTATGATATAGAAATGTCCTCTTTTCACTTGAAAAAACGGGTTTTGATTTTAAAGAAAATATTTATTTTTGGTTGAATTAGTATAAAACCTAAAAATTGTCTCAGAAAGTTTCTTAACTGAAAAAATTACAATAATTCTTTTCTCCAAATTGTATAGCCTGATTATTCGGAATTACAAAATTCCAATCAGATTCGATAAGTTTTTTTATAACTATGAAAAAATTCCTTTTAGATTTGTTGGCATCCTCCTTCTTCGATGCTTTCCTCTTACTATGGTCGTCTTCCTTCCTACTCGTCTTCCTGGACTGATTAGGCTTCCTGTACTGCCTGTGTCCAGATACATCCTAAAAATTTTAAAAATTTTAAAATTTATGAGAAAAAAAACTAAAAAAACCTTGATATGCTAAATGTAAGAGAAAAAGTATCTAATCAGCTATTTTCAAAAATGCGTTTTTCAAAATAGTGTTAGTCTGTATTATCAAGTCAAGTATTATTTAATTGTTATGTTATACTGCTACTTTTTTAGCTTAAGACCTTGAGGTAGGCCTTAATTTGCATATAATGACTTAACAGTCCTCTGAATATTCAGGCTTCATTTTCTATCAAAACAACAAAAATAACCAACACGTTTAAAAATTGTTTTGATTTCGATTTTTTGATTTTAATTTCGTGATTAAGTAATAAAAGTTGTTTACGCAAAAGTCGCATTCATACGGTCATACCTTAAATGTGCATTCCAGCTTTCTAAGAACCTGGTTTTTTGGTAATGTGTGATTGATAAAAAGTTTATATGGAATGAAAGGCTCTATACTTTATATTGTTTCATTGTTTCTCCAAACAACTCATCATCATCGTCATCCTCGAATCCAAGAGTAAACTTAGCTTACCTCTTCCAGTTCTCCAAACTCATCATCATCATCATCCTCGAATCCAAGAGTAAACTTAGCTTTCTTTTTCTCCGTCTCAGGTCCTTTCTCAGAGAAAACCGATGGGGATCCAACATCCTTCAATAAAAATGAATATTATGTAAAAAAAAGTTACTTACGGAGTTGTCATTGCAGGATACTTTTTCATTGAAATTGCATATCACACAAAAAATTAGAAAAGAGAAAAGGCGAAAAAAGTACGTTGAGCTAGCTTGAGAACCCGTCATGTCCCAAGTTAAACTAGCTTGAGAACCCGTCATGTTCTAAGTTAAACTAGCTTGAGAACCCATCATGTCCCAAGTTTTTAAACTAGCTTGAGAACCCAACATGTCCCAAGTTCTTTAAACTAGCTTGATAACCCGTCATGTTCCAAGTTAAACTAGCTTTAGAACCCATCATGTCCCAAGTTCTTTAAACTAGCTTGAAAACCCATCATGTCCCAAGTTAAACTAGCTTGAAAACCCAACATGTCCCAAGTTAAACTAGCTTGAGAACCCGTCATCTCCCAAGTTAAACTAGCTTGAAAACCCAACATGTCCCAAGTTAAACTAGCTTGAGAACCCGTCATGTCCTAAGTTAAACTAGCTTGAGAACCCGTCATGTCCTAAGTTAAACTAGCTTGAAAACCCAACATGTCCCAAGCTAAACTAGCTTGAGAACCCGTCATGTCCCAAGTTCCTCAATAAAAATTTGAGGCAAATCAGTCAAATGATTTATGATCGGACACCCCAACAAACTAACAGAGATTACAACTTTATATATATGTATATGTTTAATATAGTATTTTCAACTTTTTTCAGTTTAAATAAATATTTTAGATGTTTAAATATACATTTTTTCCAAGTCAAAATGTTTCATGGGTCTAACCCAATCATCAGTTGAAATAAAACTCTATGTTTACATATATATATGTTTATGTATATGTATATGTATATGTATATGTATATGTATATGTATATGTATATGTATATGTATATGTATATGTATATGTATATGTATATGTATATGTATATATGTATATGTATATGTATATGTATATGTATATGTATATGTATATGTATATGTATATGTATATGTATATGTATATGTATATGTATATGTATATGTGTATGTATATGTATATGTATATGTATACAGAAGCGTCAAAATGGGATTAAAAGTCACAGCTTTCTGGAATAAGGACCGAAATATTTACAAATATTACCATATACTGATCCCTTCATTTTTAACATTTTTGTGCAATTATAGTACTAAGCTTTCCCTTGGGTTGCTTTAGCAAATATACAGTCCTCTAAGCCTACATTTAATTTCATAATTATTGTTTTTGTTTTGTTTTAAAGGAAGATTTTACCTTAGAAAGATTTGCTGAGGATGAATGCTCTGTATCAATTACAGGGTTGTATACCCCCGCCTTCCAGGGGAGGGACGCTTCAGACACGCCTTCGTCAGATTCTAGATAATCAGTTCTTTTTGGTCTTTTCAATATCTCACAGGTACAGTGATAATCAGAAAACTATGGAATAGGAAGACGACATTAATACGACACAAAAGTAAATTTGACCTTGTTATAAAAAAATTAGGTCCTTGGACTTTTTAAAATTATTTGGCACAAAGGTGGTTGTACAAAAAAATGCAAAAAATTGAGCTGTTGAAAATAGTTCTATAAAAAACTAAGAACTCAATAAAAATAAAACTTAATAAAAAAATGCAAATTCAAATACGTGTTTAATAATTATTTTGTGAAAAAAAACTAATTTCTAATTATAAAAATAAAAACCTCTTTTACCTTTCATTCAACAATTATAACCATCTGTTTGGAAATAAAATCATAATTTTTTCGTTATTTTGTAATCAAACAGCAATAGAAAATGGCGAAAATGTTTGTTTTTGATATTTGTTTGAAAAAGTTCAATGCTTAAAAATATTGACCTTGTCCTCCATCCTCAGCCTCGTCTGGATCCTCCTCGACCTCGACTCCTCGGATTACAGGGAGCTGCTGAGCAGACTCACTCGGCTTACGATGACGCTTCTTGCCAATTTCTCCCTACAAACAAAAAACGTAAAAATTTAAAAATATTCAACAAAAAAATCAAAAAGTTTCATCCAACGAAAACGAAAATTTTCTCATCCAAATATAAATCTTCCAATATGATAGAAAAGAACAGAATTCAAAAGACGATGAGTTAGTATTTATTGAAAACTAAAATATCTATCTACAATTTGAAAGGAAAAATCTATTAGGATTTCAGGATTTTACTAATTACTTCTATAAAATAAAGCCTGAAAAAAAAATTTGCTTCGCCACGAAAATTAGTCGTAAACGTCTACAAAACTCAGTCTGCTCGATTTTATTAGTTGATTTCATAATAAGGTTGATTTCTGAGATATAGAAATTAAAACCTCTGATTTTTTGGGATGCGTCAAATTAAAAATTGAGTTTTAGTTCTATAGATAAAACATAGATCAGAAAGTAAAGAAAATATACCTTTTTCAAATTTTTCTTGATAATAGATTTGTTTTGTGGGAACTCAGAGTCGTGTCCTAAAATTACAAAGATAATGAAAAACATAATTAAACACCGGATTTTAACATGGGATTAGGAAACCAAATGTAGAAAACTGAATTAAGAACAAGGGAATAAGGAAGCAAGATTTAAACGCTGAATTAGGAACTCCGGACTAGGAAGCCAAGTTTAGAACACTGAATTAGAAACCCATGATTAGGAATCAAAGCTTAGAACACTGGATTAGGAACCCGGAATTAGGATACTAATCTTAAAACACTGAATTAGAAACCCGGGATTAGGAAACCAAGTTTAGAACGCTGAATTAGGAACCCATTATTAGGAAACAAAGCTTAAATTAGAACACTAGATTAGGAACCCAGTAATAGGAAACCAATCTTAAAACACTGAATTAGGAACCCAGAATTAGGTGGCCAAGCTTAGAACACTGAATTATAAACCCAAAATTAGGGAACCAAACTTAGAACAATGAATTAGGAACCATGGAATAAAAAATCAAATGTAGAACACTGAATTAGAAACTCTGGAATAGGAACCGTAGAATAGGAGCCGTGGAATAGGAACCCTGGAATAGCAACCGTGGAATAGCAACCCTGGAATAGGAACCGTGGAATAGGAACCCTGGAATAGGAACCGTGGAATAGGAACTTTGGAATAGGAACCGTGGAATAGGAATCCTGGAATAGGAACCGTGGAATAGGAACCGTGGAATAGGAACCCTGGAATAGGAACCGTGGAATAGGAACCCTGGAATAGAAACCCTGGAATAGGAACCGTGGAATAGGAACCATGTAATAGGAACCCTGGAATAGGAACCGTGGAATAGGAACCCTGGAATAAAGAACCACGGTTAGAAACTATTATCCCAACAAGACCTGAACCCGCAACATTTTCATCTTCTAGAATACTCTTACATCGATGTTTAAATCTCATATTAATTAATTCTAGAAAATAAAATACAGATTTTTAAATATTTCAGTCGAATCCATTATATTCCAGTATTTTAAGAATATTAAAATATTGAAATTCAAATAAAATTAAAAATATTAAAGATAAGTGGTCGTGGTGTATATCAATACAATGAAGACGATTTCTATTTAAATTTGGATTCCTACCAAGCTTTCACACAGCTTGGATACACTTGGATACACTTGGATACACTTGGAAACAAACAGAAAAACTGATGAACATATTCTTTTAAAGTTTACTTGTAAATAGAAAAGTCGTCTTCATTGTATTGATATAAACACCGACCAATGTAGAAAAACTATAGATCAGAAAACAAAGTCTAACTACAGTGTGGAGGTAAACTGACTAAGAATACTGAATGTTTGATTATATAACCAAACCATTCAACCAAACAGAGCTTAAACTAATTCTTTTAATTGAAATTATAAGCACCTCTTTATACGTAAAAATCTTCAATAATGCGTAACAATAGATCCTTAAAAAAAAGGCGACAACTGAACATATATAAAGTCTAAATATCACTTGTCTCACTATTTGTAATAAAAACTTATACTTGTGTACTGTTTATTATTGTACTACTGCAAACCGTTTACTAGTGAACCTTTGTACTATTGTTGTATCGTTGTACTGTTAAATCGTCGTACTATTGAACCTTTGTATTGTAACTGTTTTACCGTTGTAATATAAAACCGTTGAATAACCATTGGTGTACTTTTGTACTGTTAACCCGTTGTACTATTAAACCATGGCATGTACTGTTAAACTGTTGTACTTTTAAAACATTGTACCAATGTTGTACTATTATACTGCTAAACCGTAGCATACCTTTTACAGGAAAGAACGCTCCATCGATAGATGCCCTCTTTAATACAGCATCTCTAGTTGGGGCTGAACCAAAATAAAAAATAAAGCCGTGCAAAATAAAGCGAAAATGTGCAAAAAAAAAATATTATCTATTTGTAAAACATTAAAAAACCAAAACAGAAAATCAAAATTGACAAACGTTAACTGTTGATAGAAACAAACAAAAAACAAGGAATGTGCAATTCAACAATATTCAGAAGAGCAGAATTATTTCAAACCTTGCAAATACAAGAATTCTTTGAACAATCTGCTTCATATCTTTAGGAAAGGAAATTTTCTGCAAAAAAAAAACAATCTGAACATCTGCAATTGCAAACATTCGTTTAACATTTTGTATATTTTAGTGAGTTCAATTAAATTCTTGAATTTTACAAGTCAATTAAAAGATGGCCTTAAAAAAACATGAAAGAACATTTAATTACTTTTTCATAATAAAGAAATAAATTTGCTCCACTATATATCTTTTTTTAAAAAGCACTAATGGGTCATGGACATAGATACAAAGCATGATTTTCTAATCCCATTATCTTTGCAACCCAACATCCTAGACGTAAGCAATCTCAAACCTATGACTTTTGTTAGATACAATAACAAAAGTTAGCAATTTCAAAGGTTTACAACATCAAGTTGCAAAGATATCGGGATTAGAAAATTTGATTTTGTTGCAAAGACTCAATTTTCTTTGTTTCAAAACATTTAAGAATTAATCACCTTTCACAGGAGACTCAGCTAGACCCTCATCCCCTTCCTCATCCTCACCCTGCATACCTCCATCTGTACTTGCACTCCTAAAAACAAAAACAATATTAGAACATTTTGAATACGACTTAGCAAACTTCATATAAAATGAAAAAAATACTAAATAAAGGAATTGAGTCTTTGCCACAAACTCTTACTTTATAATCCCTATACCTTTGGAACCCAACGTCGTAGACCTACGACTTATGTTAGATCAAATAATCTAAGTTTGAAATATTAAACATTTACACTTTAAGGGTTATAAAATAAGAGTTTAGAATTAATCATTTGCGTGCATCTATTGAACGTTAAAACGGTTGAACTGAAGTTCATCAAGGATTTGAGAATTGAAAAATGTTGTAAAAAAATTATCAATTTTTAAAGCTGCATTAGATATGTATATATAGAAAGTAACCTGTAATAATTTCTTCCGGCATCAACATTTCCTTGTCCTTCTGGGTTGAGAGTAGCCGGGTCAAATCTTAACAAACAAAAATGGATTAAACATTTTAAACATTTAATTAATATTTCGTAAAATAGGATTTTAAATCTGGAGAGAATTTTCATCAATTGTTAAATGAGATTAGATCAGTATTATTTCAAAACAATGTTTTAATAAAAATATTCTATAATAAACCAGACAACTTGGTTTTAAAGGGACTGTCGATGTAATTTCAAGTGACTCTCAATTTGTACAAACGGAACCCTTTAAATCTTGTCTAAGGTAAGTTTTTCCCTTTAAATCTTGTCTAAGGTAAATTTATCCCTTTAAAACTTGTCTAAGGTATATTTATCCCTTTTAAATCTTGTCTAAGGTATATTTATCCCTTTAAATCTTGTCTAAGGTATATGTATCCCATTAAATCTTGTTTAAGGTATATTTATCCCTTTAAATCTTATCTAAGATATATTTATCTCTTTAAAACTTGTCTAAGGTATATTTATCCCTTTAAATCTTGTTTGAGGTATATTTATCCCTTTAAATCTTGTCTGAGGTGTATTTATCCCTTTAAATCTTGTCTAAGGTATATTTATCTCTTTAAATCTTATTTAAGGTATATTTATTCCTTTAAATCTTATCTGAGGTATGTGTATCCCTTTAAATCTTTTCTGAGTTATATTTTTTCCTTTAAATCTTATCTGAGGTATATTTATCCCTTTAAATCTTATCTGAGGTATATTTATCCCTGTTAAATCTTGTCTGAGATATTTTTCCCATATTGTTCAGATAAAGTTTAAAGGTGAAAGATTGTGAATCGGACATGCCACTCTATGAATCAATTGTCCCTTGTTTATTCCAGACTGCAGTCTGTCCGAGATTTATGTGTATCTTTACAGAAATATTTATCCTAATCCTCGTTGTTAATTTCATGAACAATCCCTTTACAGCAATAATGCATGCTTACCTTTCTTGCTTGAAGAGCTTGTCAAAATCTTTGTCGTACACCTCGTCCTAGAATATATTGTATAAATATTATTTGAAATAGTTCATGATATTTTCCCTTATTTCCNCCCCCCCCCGTTCAACATTGTGTACGTCCTGACTTTTTTAATTGTAAGATTCGAATAGTTTTATTTAAGATTTTTGTACAGGGGGAATTATAGGGAAAACCTTGAAACATTTAAATATTTGGAATTTAAATTCTTTTTCATTTTCTTTACAGTGCACATTCTTTCTAAAATACGAAGATTTTTTCTACTTCTTAAATTGTTTTAAGTAATTTAGATTTGTTCTCAAAAATGTATCACTTCTTTAAATGAATATATATCTATTTTGATTGACATTGTCTATTGTTGACATTGTATATATTTACATATATTCTTACATATTACCGGTGTTAAAGCATAAATTATTGCATAAAAGATGTTGAAAAGACAAATATAAAAAATAGTTGGCTGATTTAGAAAAGGCAATTTTTCTTTTACTTATAAGGTTTTCTACAATAAAGCTTCTAAAATAAAACTGCAGCTGGATGTATTTTTATTTTGGTTAACAATTTTTTTACTGTTTAGTGAAAATCAATTCGATTAAAGGGAGTGTTCGCGAAAAATGAAAGGGGGTATAGGCTTGCGGCGAAAAATAAGCGCTTTTAGAAAGATGCAACGTTCATGATCTGAGAGTTACTTTTAAAAACATTTATTCCTGTTTCGAGGATTTTTGATAATGAATACGACATTTTTATATTTTTCAGGAATGTTCGAAAATCCATCGCCAGCGAAAATTATTTTTTAAAAAAACAAAATTAAAAATATTATGAAATATTAACTATATACGAATGCGTCGAAAAATAATCGATGACTACCGTTTGCAATATATGAATGATTTGTTTGGAATTAAATTGATTTGTGTACGATCCGAGTTGAACGTTGCATCTTTTCGAAATTGTATGGACGCTGCTTTCTTCGGTGTGAGTCATTTTTAACAATTTTCTCCTTATAGACGCAACAGATAGAAGTAAGATTAGTAGCGATCAAAAGCGCTTTTTTTTGCCGTAAACCTATACCCCATTTCATTTTTCGTGAACACTCCCTTTAAATTGATCGAGGTAATCTGAAATGAGCTACGTATGTGTTTTAGAAGTTATTAAAAATGTTCAGAATTCATAGCAAAATATGGATTATTGATTATTTAAGTTTAAAGCATAACGTTAAAAAGATTAAAATCGAAAAATTTAGTTTTTTATCTACAAAGTTTTGCCCTTTCCGCGCGTCCACATCATGACTTCAGTTTACTGCGTCCTACCACTCACAAATACTAATCAGTATTCACATATAGTTGAACAAATACTGTTGAAAGCAAAGAAAACCAAGCATAGTAATATTGAAAAAAAAAATTTATTGAACACTTACCTTTTCCGATCCAAGTCCTGTAGGTACGCTTTGCGCCCTTTTACCACCAGAATAGTTCATAGTAAACCTGTTCTCCTTCTGGAACTTACTCCGCTTTTCACTAGATTTTAATATTGTTTTTTAACTTTAATTTTTAGCTTTCACTGTTTATTCTAATATTTGTCAGCTGCTAGGAACTGTATCTGCAACCAATAGGATGGTTTGCTGAAGGTTGGTTCAACCAATAGGTTGGCAGTATCACGCCGGTCGGTTTTCAGTCCCTAGACAGACATATGATTAATTAAATTAACATTTACTGGCGATGATTCTTTTATTTACATTAGGAAACGTTCCAAGTGTATGTTTTCTAATTGAATATATTGTATGTATACACTACATCAAGGAGAATTGAATAGAGAATGAAGAAAGTACATACCATATTACCCCATGATAGAGAATACCCGGAGAAATAAAACCGTCCAACCCTAACCAACCCTAGTGTGATGAGTCTACTGTGTACAGTTACGAGGCCAGGCTGTCTCTGGGTATAGACTAAAACTGGGAGAGAAGGTTGTTTCCAACCCCTAGTTCTTATTTTATCAATATATGCAGGAAATATTAACGGAGAACTAAACTGCAAATTCAGCACTATTCTTACTCTAACCGAGATATACACATAGAGAATAGAATATTAGCGTTTTTATAAATAGATAATTACGGGAGATATTAGTGGGAGATGTAAAAATAATGGGATTTTTTTTATCACACTAAACATATTCATTTAATTTTTAGTCATCTGTTCTTAGTTAACATGTGTTCAGCATCTTGTCCACACTCTAAGATGCAGCTAATTATTCTTCATCACTGGTAGTCCTGGAGTCTTTGGATGGGAGAAATCATCACGCGATGAATTGTACCTCAATATTGTAGTTTTATATGTTAGATATTTGTTCCTACATTTGTTTTATTTACTATTCAAAAATCTTTAAAAGGACTCATAAAATTGATTCTTTTACTTTACGATACTGTATAAGGGTGTTTTTCAATTCTGTAATTTTTTTAAAGCTTTTATAATCCTTTTGAACAATCCTTTTAATTTACAAAAAGTTCTGGGTAGCTTACCAATGGACGTTCTATAATCCGTAAAGAAAATCCAAGAAATGAATACATGTAAATCTGCAATTTCATATTTTCACCAAAAATCATGTCTTCTGGAGAGGCAGACAAGACATAATGCTTTGATCTTTCTTTGATCTTTCTGAAATTTTAACACGAACTAGGCCTGGTCATAGAGAAAATTCTCTGAAAATTAAAGTCAGATCGGTCAACAAATAAGTGCGCAGCGTTAAAACCCCTGTCGCTCTCACTCTCGCCCATGTCAAAGTTGCAGGAAATTTCCGCTCCAGAATCTGGTTGTGTACCAAAGAGAATGGAAATTGGAGGCCATTTTGAGCATTTAATAATTAGAGATTAATTTTTCTTTTGCTTGCTATATACCAAACGTCCATATATGCGTGGACAACCTTAATCGTTTAATAAATGTAATCCATTATGATTTAACCTTTGCTGTACCAGAACCATAATTTACAGAATTAAAGAAAAACTTGTATATTAGTTTCGTTGATCTGGTTTATACCAATTTTGTTATCAATACCAAATCTGATAAAGAAACTATGACCTTTACAGTAGTTCAGAGAATTAGATGGATTGGTCCTGAAATCCGAACCAACGATGAAACCTCGCTAAGCCATTAACTGCCGCACAACATGTAATCAAAAATGATAATTTGCTCCCACAAATTCTATTTCAGTGACTCATGACATATGCTTGACAGAGATTTAATCAAATCTTTGCCATGACCGATCATTTTTGTTTTACAATATATACAAAGAGAAAAATGTTCACAATTGAAATTAAAGATGGGCGCGAAGCGCCCTGTAAGTATTGTATTAAATATTTTGGAAAAGTAAAAAACCAGCAAAAAACTGCATGGGCAAAATGATTGAAAGAATTGAAGACTGAGTTAATTCCCTACACTAGTCGTCTTTGAATTCTCAGTCTTTGTTGATAACCCTGTATGGATGAACCAACGAGGTTATAGTGTATAGAGTGATGATGTACACAAATCCTATATTAATTGTATAGGCCGGGAACTATACAGAGAGCGTACTGCATATTTGTTTATTATAATGAGATTCTGGCCTAACCTATAGTATATAATTACTAGTAAACAGTTGTAAGTGTACTGTAAAGCTAACTGAGCACACAGGTAGAGATCTATCATCCCCCTTGGAATGAATCCTTATAACTTTATTTACACAAAGTGGTTTGCTAAATGATGAGCTAGGAATATGAAAAAATTGCGCGTTTTTTTTTGGCAAAAATTGGAAGATAATGAAGAAGTAAATTCCTAATGCGAATATTATTCGATACTTTTCTGGACTGTCCTTTCTTGGGACACCGTATATACAAAACTGGATTTAGAGCCGAGAAACTGCATTTTCAAGCTGGCAATGAGACCCCTGTGCAGTTTTTGCCCTCAAGCAATGAATCTATAATTTGGGAGAGTGTTCAGAGTGTAAGCCAAGCCAAGCCCGGTCCTATACAAATATGCTACATACTAGATATATGTACATTTTATCATATGGTTTTGTGGCAATACACAGAGTTTCGGAGATAAAACTTAAGTGCGCATATTACTGAGTAGGTTATTTGGAGAGTTTCCTTCTCTTTTTTAGTTTTCTTTTCCCTTCTCCATTCTTCCTCATCCTTCTCCGTTCTTCCTCATCCTTCTTCTCTTCTTTCTTCCTTGTCCTTCTACGTTCTTCCTCATCCTTCTTCTCTTCTTTCTTCCTCGCCCTTCTACGTTCTTCCTCATCTTTCTTCTCTCTTTGTTCTTCTTCCTTCGTCTACGCTCTTATTCATAATTCTACATACTTCCTCATCCTTAATACATACATCCTCACCCTTCTACGTTCTTCCTCATCCTTCTACATACTTCCTCATCCTTCTACATACTGCCTCATCCTTCTGTGTTCTTCATAATCCTTCTACATACTTCCTAAACCTTCTACGTTCTTCCACATCCTTCTATACATACTTCCTCATCTTTCTACATTCTTCCTAATCCTTCTACGTTCGTCCTCATCCTTCTTCTCTTATTTCTTCAACACCCTTATACATTCTTCTTCATCTGTTTTCGTTCTCCCTATTTTTTCTCCTTTCTTCTTGATCCTTTTTCCGTTTATCCTCATCCTTCTGCGTTCTTCTTCATTACTTCGAATCCTTTCTCATTCGATTTCTCCATTTTTATCATTGTCATTCTTTGTCATTCTTTGTCATACTTTGTCATTCTCTGTCATTCTCTGTCATCCTCTATCATTCTCTATCATCCTCTATCATTCTCTGTCGTTCTATATGTTCCGCTGTAAATTTGTTCACTTCTTCTCATTCTATCTCATTTTTTCTCACTTTTCTTATCCTTTCGCATTCTGCCTCTCTTCTTCTTCTTCTTATCCTTTCGCATTCTGTCTTTCTTCTTCTACTTCTTATTCTTTCGCATTCTGTCTTTCTTCTTCTACTTCTTATTCTTTCGCATTCAGTCTCTCTTCTTCTTCTTCTTCTTCTTCTTCTTCTTCTTCTTCTTCTCCTTTCCCATTATGTCTCTCTTCTTCTTCTTCTTCTTATCCTTTCCCATTATGTCTCTCTTCTTCTTCTTCTTCTTATCCTTTCGCATTCTGTCTCTCTTCTTCTTCTTCTTCTTCTTCTTATCCTTTCTCATTCTGTCTTTCTTCTTCTTCTTTTTATCCTTTCGCATTCTGTCTCTCTTCGTCTTCTTTTTCTTATCCTTTCTCATTCTTTCTCACACCTTCATATCCTTTCTCACAACTTTCCATTCAATTCCCCCCTCTCTCATCTGAAGAAGATGGGGCTAATTGATTCTTTTAAAAAGATGATCCCCACCAAACACATGTTGCATGTTTAAATCATTTAAAATTTATTACACATTTTAGAGACATTATTTCAGATTGAACTGTACAGGCGAACAAAATTCACTCCTTTCCAATTAAAATGATAACTATGAGGGTTAATCCTTTAAATAGACTAATAAACAATCTTTTTTACTTTTCTGAAAATTCACAACTTGTCAAGCAGAAATGGGACCCACGGTGACAGGTTCTCAATTTTACAAAGAAATTGATAATATCTTCATCATGATCATTAATAAAGATTAAAAGGGTTCGTTTGTGAATCGAGACAAAAATAAATCTTTTATGTTTTGTTTTTAAATCTTTGTGAATGTATGAAAATTGTCTGATATATAAATCAATGTTTGTGTTATGTTGTATATACACAGTACACAGTACGGAATACAGCTGGAAGCAATAAATGCCCTCATATTGAAATGTCGAGTTCTACGAAGAACTGTGGAATTCTTTACATAAACATTATTTTATGTTTTGACTGTATAGATACTTACGCAATAAATATGAACGCTAAGTTACATATGAAAATATTTTTAAGATTTACAACAAAGCTGAGAGGAAAATGTCGATTTTTTTTAATAACTGCTTTTTCCTTTTCAAAAGTTTTTTTTCTCTTTTGATGTATGATATGATATTCAGATTAGAAAATAATTAAAATAGAAATTCTTTTTTTCTGTATCAATATACGGTGACATTTAAATTACATTTTCAAACAGTAAAACAAGAAACAAAGATGCATTTTAGCAGAGAAATATCAAACCCGTTGAAAGTCAAACATATATGATTAAAATTTTTGGACTCGGAAAAAGGACTGATAATCATTTTATTATTTAAAAAAAAAATTTTAAAGCCTGAATCGGCTGGAAAAAAAATCATTAAACCTTAAAAACTAAAACTTAAAAAGGTCTTTTTTTACTACTAATATCAATTATTTCTATCAATAATGACAAAGTTTTATTTTTGGTATCATTCATTTTCATAACAAATGTACAAAATTTTTTTAAAAACATACCTTCTGTGATTTGCAGGAACACACATTTTGATAGATTTTCTCAGCCTGAAAAATTTTAAAATCATTATGCTTCTTTGTACGAAAAAAAAGGTTTTTAAGAATAACAAAATATATTTTTAGAAATGATAACGCAGAAACGTTATTTAAGTATTTCAAAAACTTAATATAAACTTAATGATTGTTGTAATTTTACACTTTTATCGCATTTAGGAGTCTTAGAATTTTAAAAAATCTTGCATATTATTTTCTGTTTTATATGCTTTGTCAAAATCTTTTAATTGATTAAAAATTTTGCGTAGTTTGTTGTCCTTCTTGTGCTATACTAACTAAATTTTTTATTAAATTTTGATTTATATTTTAGCAAAAAATGCATTACATTACATGCAGAAAGAACAAAAATTCTAAAAGTATAATTCAGTCTCAGTTTTTAATCTCCTTTAAAAGATAAAAGAAACTACTGTTGACAAAATTTCAATCGGATCTCTATAAATTGAAATTACGTCTACAGTTCCTTTAAGAATCTATATCTATATTCGCTAATCTACTTGTTCAGATGTTTGCAAATCTATTGTTCTGAATTTAAATTTCAAGTTTAAATCTTGTCAAATCTGTTTAAGCTTAAATCTCCTCAATTATAGCTAAATGTAATACTGATCTGCTAAACGAGTAGTTTCTAGTATACATCATTTGTATTGAAACAATTTCATGTTCAAACTGTTTTTAGAATATCAGGGGTCCGAGGGAGGGGGATGGAGTTAAACTAAAAAATCTAAATTTTCTATCTTCTATCTTTTCAAAAATTCTCCATAAACTTTTTAATTTCAGCCCTTTTTCAAACACTTCAGTAAAAGTACAAAATTCAAAATGTCCGTGAGAAAACAACTACTCAATTCTAAACGTTTCATTTTTCAATCCTTAAATATTTCAAACTTAGATTATTTGATCTAACAGAATTCAGAGTTTGGTCAACTATATTTGATCTAACAGAATTCAGAGTTTGGTCAACTATATTTGGTTGCAAGGCTATGGGGAAAGTAAAGCATTGTAAAATGCCGCTAAAAAAACCGTGTGTTTTTACCGAAATAGAAATTCATATAGTTTTACACGTTCAAAGTAGGACCAAAACAAGTGAAATGTGGACGGTCCCAATGTCCACGTGCCATATGGGGACCTCGTATATAATTTGAAGATCAAACAGGGACATGGGGACCAAAATGGCCATTCGTTCATTAGCGCGTTTATTCGTTTATTTCCCCTAACAGTTTAGTTTCTAAAACAAAAAAACTAAAATTGTCTACTTTTAATATCTTTCGAACTTGAAGTTGTAATCCATTGATATTTTAAACTTAGATTATTTGATCTAATAGAATTTAAAATTGCAAAGAAAGGATTAGAAATTTTTTTTCTGACAAAACTCGGTTCTATTACTGTGATGAAATATTGATCGGGGGGGGGGGGGGGGGGGGGGGGGAAGAGGACTTAAGGCTTGGCTTTCAGTTTTACATATGACGCAGGAAAGTTATGTTTAAAACTATAATAGAGATAAGAATATTTTAACAGTAAATTTGATATTTTTAAAATATATTTTTAAATTTCGGACTAAGTAGTTGAACTAAGTAGATAAAATTAAACCACTAGTGTTGAACCAGCGTATAACAGAATATCAGTTATTTAACTACTTCACTCCATTGATGATTAATATTTACGATATTTTGAATTTATGTTTCTTATTGTTTGATGAATAAACAATGTCAGCAGTATTTTCAGAATATCATTTACAATTCAAGAGATAAGAATAACAAGAAAACCTTAATTTAAAGGGACTTTAAACGTTCAAAACTCCTACTTTGGGGGTGGATACGTTTTAAGAATTAGTTTCTTTTATAATTATTAAAAATGACGACATAAAATGTAAAAAAGTTCTACAATAAACTACAGACGTCATGTAAAGGAACATGTTGAGAAAATAAAAATTAATCTTACCATCGAAAATAAGTAATCTTGTTTAATTATTAGTTTCTATTTTCTCATTATTCTAGTTTCTCATTATTCACAAAGATTTTCCGCAGGTTTTCTAGAATTATTATTTAAAAGACGACATTTGAAGAATTTGAAGAAATCTGCGAATCAATTCAAAGAAAATTAGAAATTCAATATAATAATGAAAACGAAATAATCGATTTTAGCATTGATTTATTGACAAATTTCTTTTGAGAAATATGTTCCTAACCATCTAATTAGATTACTGTATAATTTTTACTTTATTTTTCTGAAACTAGTTCTGAAAACGTAACCATCCCCAAAGGAGGAGTTTTGAACGTCGAATTTGCGCTCAAACTCAGGATTTACAGATCTATAAAAAGTTTAATATGTGTCAAATGAATCCGAAAGAAGTTTTCCACAACACTGCATACTCAGTTCAACTACCTTACATAGCCGGTCACTCCCTTTAATCTTACAATTGCCTTCCTTGTTTCCGCAGCATATACCCTTCAGCCAACATTACAGCGAAATATCAATTTGAAATAATCAACTTTCATATAGGCAAATAAGCTTTAATCAAACGAAGATGTATAGGTTACCGCTGAGAATCGTACATTCCCCTCTATAAACGGATGGTCCCATAAACTGAATACTATACAGTCCCTGTAATAAAATACTATGAGTCAAACCTAGAAAATGATTCAAAGTCGAATAAAATGTGTTGATCTGGTTTCATATTTCTTCCTTGTTATTTCAAGATCTAATATCAGACAAATAGAATCACTCAACTGTGTTGGATTAAGTCTAGGAAAGGCTAGGACAATGACTTTCAGTCAAAATAACGAATTACGAATCCAACTTTTTTTAACTTAAATTTTTCAGCGGTAGAAAAAAAATTGGTTTTCTTTCAAAAGTCCAAAAAAACTTTTTCAGAAAAAAATGAGGAAAATTTGTTGAATTTTGTTCATTTTTAATTGGTGGAAAAATAGAATTTTTAACAACCGCGTTTACTTAATTCTGTCACAGTGTCCAGTTTTGATGCATCAAACTTAAATTTTTTTGTCATCGGGTTGCAAAAAAATAAAGATTAATAAAAGTAGGGTTTGTGGCAAAGACTCAATTTTTTTGTATTCTATTTTTCTCCTAACTGGAGATTCTTTGGTCTAAGGCTTTGAAATAGTGCCGAATCGAATGAAAATATTTAAATATATAACTTATCGTTTAACAATTCTTCTATTATAAGATTACTACCTTCTAAAACAAGTGTAATCTCTTCAGTAAACAATAATCATATTTACACTGTTGTATTGCGGGGACTTGACTGATAGTTTACTACCGGTTCAATATAAACTAGGACTCTCATACAGGGGAATAGAAGGGGGCAAGTTGGGAGGGGGGCGACTATGAATACCCCCCTCCCTATTAGAAATTTGATGTTACGCCTTAAAAACTTAAATAACTCGTTCCACACCCCACAACCCCCCCCCCCTTCCCAACCCAACCAAATAAAATCTTTTAATTAAAAATATCGAGGTTTTTGCAGAAAAGAAGTTGCGGCACAATGTGAAGAAAAATTATTCAAAATGTATGTTATGAATAATCAATATAGATTATTCTTCAGGCCCACAGATTTAATCTAAATGCAACAAGAAGTCTAATTTAATACCTTTTATCAGATCACTTGAAAATTTCCAATTAAAGGGAGTGTTTACTTTAAAAAACAAGCAGTTTATCTGGCAATTTTTTGTCGAATTTAGCAATTAGTAGCACAGAGTTTTGCCTTGATACTGTATTTTCTAGGTTTGTAACACGATAAAAATATGGCTAACTACAATGTCATGAGTCATTTTTAATTCTTATATTGGATCCCTATAGAGAGAGTGATTTAAGTTTAAGACCGATAGACATCTTTCTATCTATCCATTTACTTTCTATCTATCTATCTATCTATCTATCTATCTATCTATCTATCTAGCTATCTATCAGTACATTCTGTAGATTTCTCTGCTGACAGAGAAGTGTTAAACAGGTTCTTCAAAGTGTTGTCACCAAGAAGACAAGCTGAGCACAGGAACCAACCATTTTAGAATCTAAACTCTATTCTTGTTTAAAATAGAATTAAAAGATTTACCTTTATATATATATATTCAAACAGCAGTTATCTTGGTAGATGTGAGCTGTACGAGTGTTTAACACCGACTATCCATACTTGACCAGCGGGAGCCAGAGCAGAGAGGGGACGCGGCTCAAAAATATTACGTCTTAAACTTCTTTCCGGGCCTACAGATAAACATACTGCCTACCATTATGCAACATGACTTGTACATTCATGTTATAAAATATTGGCCTTTGTGTAACAACATGATATTTTGACAAAAACAAAATATTGTTTTCCTCATAGACATCAATTTAAAAAAAATTATGACTTTTCGGGTCATCCAACTCGTCCTATCAAACCTTAATATAAAACGAAAGTTTCTCCAGTCAAAATTTGAGGCAAATCGGTCAAGGGATTCCGAAGTTATGATATATATTAAATATATCTTTCTAATTTTTTATGATTTCTCTGAGCGCATTTAATAAGAAGAAAGCCCTAAATCTAAATATCGGAAATGGAAATTGTTCCCATTATTCCACTCTTCCAACTTCTCAGATCTAGGATCAAGAATCAAAGGAACAGTAGTCTCTTAACTTTCCTGACTAGTCTCTTAACGTTCTTGACTAGTCTCTTAACTTTCCTGACTAGTCTCTTAACTTTCCTGACTAGCCTCTTAACGTTCCTGACTAGTCTCTTAACTTTCCTGACTATAGTCTCTTAACGTTCCTGACTATAGTCTCTTAACTTTCCTGACTAGTCTCTTAACTTTCCTGACTAGTCTCTTAACGATCCTGACTAGACTCTTAACTTTCCTGACTATAGTTTCTTAACTTTCCTGACTATAGTCTCTTAACTTTCCTGACTATAGTCTCTTAACGTTCCTGACTAGTCTCTTAACTTTCCTGACTATAGTCTCTTAACTTTCCTGACTAGTCTCTTAACTTTCTGACTAGTCTCTTAATGTTCCTGACTAATCTCTTAGCTTTCCTGACTAGTTTCTTAACTTTCCTGACTAGTATCTTAACGTTCCTGACTATAATCTCTTAACGTTCCTGACTAGTCTCTTAACTTTCCTGACTAGTCTCTTAACGTTCCTGACTAGTCTCTTAACTTTCCTGACTAGTCTCTTAACTTTCTGACTAGTCTCTTAATGTTCCTGACTAATCTCTTAGCTTTCCTGACTAGTTTCTTAACTTTCCTGACTAGTATCTTAACGTTCCTGACTATAATCTCTTAACGTTCCTGACTAGTCTCTTAACTTTCCTGACTAGTCTCTTAACGTTCCTGACTAGTCTCTTAACTTTCCTGACTAGTCTCTTAACGTTCCGTATTAGTTCATTTATTTTCCAAACCAGTAATTTAACTGTAGCCTAACTAGTCGTTCATTAAGTTCTACCATCGTTCTTAAAAATATGCATTTAATTTTCTAAAAGGAAAAAATTAACCCGGTAATTAAACCCTGGAGTTAAAAAGATGAAAGCCTGGAGCTTAAACGTAGAAACCGTGGAGTTTGATAGTAGGAATTCTGGATTTTAACCCTGTCGTTTCAGAGAAGAAACCCTGGAGTTTAAGAGTAGAAGCCCTGGAGTTTAAATGTAGAAACCCTGGAGTTTGAGTGTAGAAACCCTGGAGTTTAAGTGTAGAAACCCTGGAGTTTAAGTGTAGAAACCCTGGAGTTTAAAAGCAGAAACCCTGGAGTTTAAGAATAGAAACCCTGGAGTTTAAGAGTAGAAACCCTGGAGTTTAAGTGTAGAAATCCTGAAGTTTTAGAGTAGAAATCCTGGATTTTAAAAGTAGAAACCGTAGAGTTTAAGAGTAGAATCCCTAGTGTTTAAGAGTAGAAATTCCGGACTTTAAGAGTAGAAACCGTAGAGTATAAAGAGTAGAAACCCTAGTGATTAGGAGTAGAAACCCTGGAGTTTAAGAATTGAAATCCTGGAGTTTAAAAGCAGAAACCCTGGATTTCAAGAGTAGAAACAGTAGAGTAGAAACCCTAGTGTTTAGGAGTAGACACCCTGGACTTTAAGAATAGAAATCCTGGAGTTTAAGAATAGAAATCCTGGATTTAAAAGCAGAAACCTTGGAGTTTAAAAGCAGAAACCCTGGATTTCAAGAGTAGAAACAGTAGAGTAGAAACCCTAGTGTTTAGGAGTAGAAACCCTAAAGTTTTAGTGTAGAAACCCTGAAGTTTAAGAGTTATAGAAACCCTAGGTTTAAGAGTAGAAACCCTTGAGTTTAAGGGAAGAAACCTTGGAGTTTAAGAGTAGAAACCCTGGTGTTTAAGAGTAGAAACCCTGTAGTTTCATAGTAGAAACCCTGGAGTTTAAGTGTAGAAACCCTGGAGTTTAAGAGTAGAAACCCTTGAGTTTAATTGTAGAAGCCCTGGAGTTTCAGTGTAGAAACCCTGGAGTTTTAATGTGTAGAAACCCTGGAGTTTTAGTAGAAACACTGAAGTTTAATTGTAGAACCCCTGGAGTTTAAGTGAAGAAACCCTGGAGTTTAATTGTAGAAACCCTGGAGTTTAAAAGTAGAAACCCCGTTTTTCAGAAGTATAGAAACCTTAGTCTACGGAGCAAATTGTTTTATCATTTTACACGTTGCATTATTTTTTTAATAAAAAAATGTAAACTAAACCTTTTCAATAAAAAGATGTAAACTAAACCTTTTCAATAAAAAAATGTAAACTAAACCTTTTCAATAAAAAAATGTAAACTAAACCTTTTCAATAAAAAGATGTAAACTAAACCTTTTCAATTTTTAGATCGAAAATAAACTCAAACCATATAAACAAATAGATCACAGTGATCCAAAATGTCCACGCTATCGCACAAAGAATATTTTAGCGTTTGTCAATTTCTTCTTTTAAATTGGAGCAAGATACAATCTAGCGACGCTCAAAAGTATAAATCAGTTAGCAAAGTCAAACAAAAGACAATGGGGTGTGAAACTTCAGAGTTGACCCAGTCTTAAATGTAGTGCAATAATTTTCGCAGTTGGCCGTCAATTCTGTGAATAACCTTTTTTACTGGGAATCCCTATCCGGAACTATACAAGTAACCCGGTAATTCCTGAAACCCTCTCAAACCTGTTTTATAACTAATGTTGAAAACTTTTTATTTGTCTCTCAGAATTGAGTTTGTTTGAATTAATTCAACAGATCTGATTGTATTCAGTTGTAATGAATGAGATTGGAAATGAAAGAAAACTCTGGAATGAAAACCTGTTCTAAAGTTGCGGAGCCAAGCCTCTAAACTCAAAACATTTGAAGAATGCAAGCCATACAAGGGTGGTTAGAAGCCAGGCAGGAGGGGGGGGGGTTTAGGGGTAGGGAATGGGGCAGAAACATGGTTTTTCTTGATTTGGATATCAGCAATGTATCACCTACATAAAGCTAGAAAAAGAAGTTTGGGGCGGGATGGGAAGAACCTTGAAATTTGAAAATTAAAAGAACATCTTTAAAATAAGTTTCAATTTTCAGCTTAAAAATTGTTTGTATTTTTTTCATAATATGGAATTAAAAAAGTCTCTGCCCCCGCCGCCTACCTTCTTCCAGTTGGGTGGGGCGGGGTGTGAGGGGTGGGGCGGGGAGTGAAGGGTTTGTTATCTACCAGAATGTTTTTTCTTTATTTTTTAACTATTTCTTATCCAAAAAATTCATTTATTAAATATTCATATTTGCCTAAAAACAAGGTTTTTTAAATTCATAAATCCAACTATTTTGAAACCGAATTAGTTCCATGCAAGTTGCAAAATTCTGTTTTAAGTTTATTCTAATTTTAAAATGTGTAAATAATTTAGTAAAAATCTGATTTCATCACATATTATTCTTACGATTTAACGTTATACCAAAAATGTTGTCCACTGAACTCTTAATAAAAATGTTGTCCACTGAACTCGTAATAAAAATGTTGTCCACTGAATTCTTAATAAAAATGTTGTCCACTGAATTCTTAATAAAAATGTTGTCCACTGAACTCTTAATAAAATTTTGTCCACTGAACTCGTAATAAAAATGTCGTCCACTGTACTCTTAATAAAAATGTTGATCATTGTACTCTAACAGATATGACATAAGACGTCTAATTAATATTCGTCCAACTAGTTTGGTTGGTTTTAAGTCTTTGTCTTAAACTTAGGGACTGCTCGCGGTTTAAAAAGAGTATGTATCTTAACGCGAAGGATTTTTTAACTTACATTTTTTAATCCATTTGAAATCACTCAGATTTTTTTCAAATTAAATAAATGAATTAACCTATAAAAGACATGACAAAATTACTCCCGTGACCTCCTATTACCAAGGTCACGAAGTTGTGACCTCGTCATAAAGGTCACTCTATTTAAACAGTGATTTGTTTATTATTGTTAATGTGGCTGATTTCACATATACTGACCCTGAGCCCTATTTTAAGCTAGTCTGAGAATAAATTTAAGTCTTTGCAGTGAATAAATCAGAAATTGCTGATTAAAGCAAATTTTAAAAATTTTACAATAATGTAATTTTCCAAACGTTGATAATTTGATCTCACAGGTCATGGTTTGAATTATACAGTTGCAATTGATATAAGGATTAGAATTTAGAGTTACTAATGTTCCTTAGTAATTATTGTGGAGTAAATTGATAGTATATAAAAAATAGAAAATGAAAATGAAAATGAAAAATAGAAAATGAAAAAATAGAGTTGACTAACTTTAATATATATTGCGCAGACAAAAATATTTATTTTTCTCTAAGTTTGGTTGAAAATTATGCAAAAATGTCTTTTCAAAGACGCTTTATTGATGAAAACCACTTATTAGCAAGGTCACCAAAAATCAAGAAATAAGTATTTGAAAAGTTGATAAAAAATAATACATTTAACCGAAAAATTCTATTGCGTTCAGCCCCTTTGAAGGTAAGATAATGAAACATCGTTAGATGCTTTTTTTGTTGATATTCTTGATTTGCAGGTTTATGTGGATACCTGTGTATTATTATACTGTTAGGCAGTTTTTCAGGCAGTTTATCAGGCAGTTTGATGAGTGGTTGACAGACCAATCAATTAATCAATAATTGGGTTTTCCCCCAGATGCGTAGTTTTAATTCTTGTTATGAGTTCTAGTTCGATTATAGTTGAACTTCATATCATGCA